TCTTTCGTTTTGATAAAGGTCCAATCTTTTTTCTTTTTTTTTTCAATTTTATTTAATGCCCATTTCATTAACTTTTAACACTCAAGTATTGCAACCTCTCCCCAAAACAGAGAGAAGACAAAAAACACACATCGTTGCCTTTTTAACCTTGTAAATTAACTAATTTTTAAGGTGGGTGGAGGTTAACTCTGCGGGTCTTCTTTGCTGCATTTTGCATGAAGCTCAAGGAGAGATGGTGCGATCCAATCATCCGTATCCCTCCCCCATGACTCCCCCCTCCCTAATGTCTAGTATCTCATCTCATCTTACACACACCGGTTATGCAATCATTTATGTGCTGCAATGTGGCAGCCCTATGTTGCAGCACTGCATTCACTTTATTTGTACGTAAATGTGTGTAAATATATATATATATATATGCCTTCAGATCTTATTTATTGTAGTCTCTGTATTAGTCCGTCATTTGGAAAAAAAAAACCATACACAGCCAAAATAAGTATGCACGTCGCTGACTGGGCCATGAAATATGACAATTAGTCCCTTTTTAGGCTTTAATGTCTAAAGTTGCCGTCACCGGTGGGACGTTTAGATTGGGACAAAAGTTGGTCCTCGGGTTAAATCGACAGAATGTTCAACAAATTGCCTCGCAGTCCAATTCAAACTACACGTCCTGTCTTCTGTGCTGAGTGTCTCTAGGGATTTCATGCTTGGTTGGTTCAGGTGAGTCTAAACACTGACAGCCAGTCTGAGTTCTATTCTGTTTGCTCTGATCTTATCTGCAGCGAGTTAACCTGTGGGATGGGCACAATCTAACTGTAAACAACTCGTCTGTTGCCGTCTGTCACTCACACACCCCCTAAAGCATCTTTATGAGACACTTCTGAATATTTTTAGCGTTTAGTGTGCTGCTATTTTATCCATGGAGGTTGTTTTTATCTCCTCATGAACAGTAGTTCATATTTTTTAATACAGACTGAGGCTTTATCCGTCTTTTCACCGCATACTGTCCTCATCTGCTCCCTGCTTGTCCCCACTGTGGTCATTTTACTGCCATATCTAGAGTTCTGGCTTTTTCGTGTTTAGCTGACTCATGTTTTTTCTGGTTTTCCTGTCCTCCGCAAGGCATCATAATGACATCTGTGACTGTCCTTTCTCAGACTGTCCCTCATTTTGTCTCTGGTTGTGTCATCAGGGCTGTCAGCATGCTTATTTCTGCCCTGCTCAGAATTCCCATGTCTCACGGTTTTTTGAGCTTCAGATTAGATTGGATTGGAAGGGGGGGGAGTTCATACGGCTGCGGCGACTCATCCGTGAAACAAGAATGACAACATATCCCGCTTTCACTCCGCTTTTTTTCCACACTGTGTCCTGGTTTTTGCCTACTCTCTCTATGTTACTGAGCGTGTCTTCCTCCCTGCCTCCCTGTCCTGATCAATTTCTCCTCATATGTCAGTTCAGTCATGCAGTCATTCTGATTTGACAATCTCTTTTGTCTTTCCTCCCCTTTTCTCATTTTTGCAAGAAAACAATACGGACAACAAGATGAATTAACTATTTATTTACGTACTGAGATAATTGATAGGCACAAATAAACGTTTGTTACATCGTCGACAGATCCTGTGCTGCATTTTTCTTCATTACAGACGTTAAACCCCCCTTCTCTTGTCCTGCCTCCCATCCTATCGGCAGAAAGCAGAGGATTAATAGTGTAGTTACTGTTAAACGTAGTGAAATGAATTTGAACAGAACCTATGTTGTTAGTGCTGGAATGGCTGGCAGGGAGACAGTCAGAAGCTGTTGAACATGTCATCAGATAGCGTGAAAGTCAATGCGTTATCTTATCTGCGGTGTAACCGTAGACCTGCGGGCTCAAAGCCTGAGCGCTGCGCTCTGTTCACTGTGGGGGGCTTCTGCATTATGAATAATGAACATTTACAAGCATACTCTGGGTTATTTGTTTATGTTACGTTTATGTTACTAAGAGAGTCAAAATGTAGTTCTATACGGATTTTAGTGTCAGTGTGAGTAATTCTTTAAATAATTTGAATTATTATCACATTTTTTTTTAGCTCATTTGGTCAAAAAGTCAAAGATACACCTCGGTGGAGAGACTCAGTGTAACTGCTGGCCCTCAAACCTATATCAAAGTCTGCATGCTTGTCTCAAATCCAAATAAAACAGACTTGAATACCTTAATCAACATTTTATAAATGAAAAACATATATACACGTTCAAAGAGGTAAAGATGGCTAAATTCCTTGTAGCTGCTTCACTTTCAGGGTGATATTTTGTATTTTGGCTCAATTGTCACTCTTAAATGGTTTTCTGGGTACTGTGATGTGACATATTTAAATGTCTGTTCTGTGAAAGGACTGTTAAAGTGTGAGTGACAAGAGTGTTTGCATACATTGATTTTTCTCTTCCTGTAAAAGCTGCACACAGCAGCCCTTGATGGCCCTGTTTGAATTAGTGGATCTCTTTCTTTATAATATTTGAGCTACATTTATTGTCCAAAAGTTATCAATAACAACTCAAACCACAGTTTGTCACATTTAAAAGACTTTTTTTTTTGCTAATAGTCCCAGAGTGTCGTTGCTCAGCTGAAATCCCGATCCAATAGTTCCAATATGTGTGCTGCCAGAATCAATGGCTCCATTATAGGGCAGACTTATTGATCCGTGAGTTTCGAGCCACTAATAGGCCGCTTGCACCCTGATAAACTGGCATGAAGGAGGGTGAGGAGAGGTTGACAGCAGATGGAAAATAAAGTGGTGGGAAAATGGCCAAAAAAGCAACGAGGAGATGAGTGAGTAAAGTGGAAGAACAAGAGGGCAGAGAGGATAAAGGGATGGGAGCAGAGGAGATAGGAGAGTCACAGAAAAATCAGGCAAATAAGCAAATACCCTTCATGCTGATGTAGCACTGCACTAAACCAAGGTCCAGATGCACAAAAGTTTGTATAATCATGAAGTATGCAGAGGCGGAGGTGCATGTGTGTAATTTCCACCATATTCATAAACTGTGTGAAAGTATGACTAACTTTCAAATTCTCAGTTATTGGGAAACTAAACACATTTAATCCAAAGTGACTCCAACTCAGATTTGAAGTCATGAATGAATGCCAACACTCCCCAAATTTGTAATTTACATATTGAGTAATCATTTGCAGCACAACTAAACGGACGTAATGAAAGCAGCAGTGAAGAAAACATTTTGCATTTTACAGAAACACTCACCAGAAATCTGTCAACACAAACAGAGCAGAAACTCACAACCCAGTTGTACCTGCAGCAGATGGAGAGACACATGTTTCACTTAAACAGCCTTGGAGAAGCTTATTAGATATAATTAATTATCTTTGAGTATTTGTTTTACTGTAAAATTATCTTGAAAAAGTCTTGTGCAGTCTTTTAAAACACATTGTGGTTTTATAGCACCTTCGACTTCTGTACATAAGTCGTTTTGTAACACATGAGGTTTATATGTTGGGGAAAAAACAATTTCCCTATTTTTTAACTACTTTTATATGTAGGTATTTTTTTAAGCACACTTTTTACTCTTTTTTTTTTTCTTCGTCCATCCTTTTTTTTTTCTTTTGTTGTTGGTGGTTCGTTGCAGAGAGAAAAACCTGTTTCCATGGGAACGGACTGAGCATTCACTGGTCTATCCTGAGTGTGTATGAGAGTGAGTTGACTGGGTCTGGCTCTTAGGAGAAGGAATGATGATTTATCATGGTCTGATTTACTGGGCAGATATGAAACAGACTTTGCTGTGTGTGTGTGTGTGTGTGTGTCTGTGTGTGTCTACGTAACATCAACCTTACAGCTGTAATTCTACTCTCATTTCAGTAGCGCTTAAGCTCACCACAGGAATGATCAACATCGCCATAGTAATGGCTTATCAAATGGAACTTATGAGGAAGAAAACGTATAACATTTTTATATACCTATTGTGTTTATGTTTAAGTGCATTTTTTCTGCGGCTCTGTCCATATTTTATGGCTCTTTAACACCTCTCTGACTTGGGCTTTGATTATACTTACTTTATGGTCTGTTGTATGGTGAGTTTGCCATTTTTTATTGCTGCCTGAGCATATAGCGTGATTTAAAATACCACATATTAGCTGACTCAAAGTATGCCACAGTGCACCCTGAAAACCAGAGCAAAGTTGATCGCTGCAAACCCAGCATATATATATACAATAACTCAATGAAACTACCAATCAAGTCCCCCCCCCATGTCAGTGCTAAACTCACAGAAATGTAAGAACTATAGATATGTGAAGAGGTATTGACCCTTTTTTTTCACTGTGTCTTTAGCAAAGAAAACTATGAAGGATGTAGCAGATTTAGTAGTTAATTTTTCTTATTCCCTAATAGCACAAGACAAACACTAAATTGGGTGGAAAAAATAATTAGTTAAATATGATATGATTAACGGTTACAGAGCATGAAATCACAAGCTGTACAAGTGATTTCGTAACTTTGGGGAGTACTTTTTTAAAAACTGATTTGTTAAATTGTAATGGTGACGTGCAATGACCCAAATAATGTCTAATACTCTATTATGGTTATGAGCTTTACAACTCAGTGGGCACTCAGTGAGGATTATTACGCGGCTTAGTGATTTCAGATACACTTAGTTTCAGATAGCAATTTAAAATCTTGCAAAGGCACACAGGACAAGACCTGGCTAAGGTATTATACACCAAACCACATGCAAGTGGGGTCATATTAGCTTCTCTATTGATCCTCAATTACAGTATCAGGCTTAGATATTAATATACACTTCCAAATGTATCTGGATCAAATATGAGTTTTAAGTTAGTAACTGCTAAAGTAGGACTCAAATACAACTTCCCCTTGGAAAAAGGCCAAGAAAAGGATTTATTCAAGCTACAGATCACCTCCCTGCTTTCGCCTCTATTTCTGACCAAATTCACCACCTTCAAAATCGAAGAAGCATAACATCTCACTAATGAGAGTGTCCTTTTGTGTCTGCTGCAGAGCTCCCAGAAGAAAAGAGGAGCACGACCAAACAACAAACCTGACAAGAAGCCGGCTCCACAGGTAACACACACACACACACACACACACACACTTCTGAATGATCCTCCACATCGTTCAAGTAATCAATGAGAGAAACAAAGTGCTGAGTCAGCTGCCAGAGACACTTAAACCTGGAGAGAATTTACATTGATCCAGCATGCCAACCAAAGATGGAGATAGAAAAGCTTCAAACCAGCTTCTCGCCAAAGTTTCTTTTGGATTTGTTAAAACAAACCGAAGTGGGCATTTCCGCTCTGAGTGTTTGGGCTCGCGTTGCTTTCTGATGGTATACACAAATGCAGTTGACAGAAACAGCAAAAAATATCAAATATAGATGACACGTGTCATAATATTTTCTGTGTACCTCTTTTGGTGTCTGTATCGCCTCTGGCAGCTGTCACCTCTCCACAAATGTAACCACATGTTCTTCTGGTGAACTTGGTTGGGGATTGTTATTCCTACAGATCGAGCAGGTAAAGTGGAGCGGGGGTGCTTCCAACTGCTCATTCGCTTAAAGGAAAAAAACCCCTGAGTTCACCAGTTTTCGAAGCTGCTTATGAACATTTGGAATATCTCACATTCTCATATTTCCTGCCTCAATGGTCATCAACAGGTCTTGAGTTTTTTTGTAACATAGCCCCAAAATATATTTTGTTCAGACTTTAATTGTCCTTGTTTCTGTGACAAGCATTTCAGTGAGGAATAAAATCACTTAGAACAACCAGTATCCATAAACTCTGAAAAACAAATGACATAACATTAGCCATTTATGTGATTAAATTGGGCAAAAACATGCAAACTTTATTAATTTTTCTATTATAGATGCAAAACTTTTGTGTCTCTGCTTCATTACCTTTATTTATAACTACGTATGTATATTTTTCAGAATGGCTTTTTGCTTTGAGGAGATTAGAACTGTTTGATTTATGTGGAGTCACAGACAGCAGCTGTCATACTGTCTGAAATCCTGCGTATTTGATGAATATGTTTCTGCCTCACAACTCATGCTCGCATTGTCTTTGACCTATTTCCTCTGGGGATCACTCAGGCTGAGTGCAGTAGCTAGATCAGCATGTCCTTTATTCACCCTCATCTCTTCTCCTCTGGCCCCCCCAGGCCGTCCTGTTAGTGTTTGCACTTAACTAGAAAATCTGGCATAACAACTTCTTACATCAGGATTAGAGTTCAAGCTCTAAACATGTGTTTTCAATCTCTATCGCCTTTACATTATGTCCCCTTTCTGAACCATATGTAACCTTGCCTCACCTTTTCTTGTAAGTAGTAACACCAACGCAGATTGAAATAGTTCCAACACTGAAAAAAAGTACTTCTCATCTGTGACATGAGGAATCACAGCAGTTGGCATATGAGCAGTAAAGATCAAAATGAAAGATTAAAACCAAGCATACTGATGCTTCACCAGAGAGTTTATTTGCACTGAAGGTAATTCTCTCCACCGCTGTTTCTCCTGGGCCCCGACGCCAGCCTGAACTTCCTTTCCAAACCACATACCATAAATGGCTGTAAATTGGTCGGGCCTCGTCCCTCTTAATGTGGTTGGAAATGCTCCACAGGCCGTAAAGCAAACACAGCCACGGAGCTGCCTCTGTGGAATGGGAACACGGTCACCTCAGGTCAGCCGTGGCAACAGCCGAGAACGAGATGCCTACATGAAGAAGATTTGACCGTTCTTTTACCTCCGTAAAAACATTTAAAATAGTTTTTTATATCTTCAGTTTTGCACTGAGAGGCAGGGGCAGTAGAGTAAAAAGCTTTTTGTTTGTGTTGGGTTTATTTTACCAGCACAGGGCAGACAATGTACGGAAACCTCATCAGGCTCTTGCCTCATTACATACCCAGCAGAGCTGCACTGTTTTGGGCCTTTTGATGAACAGATATTCACTCTTTCAGCTCTGAATTTGGATGTTTGACAGAAAACATACACAAAGAAGTTCTTGAGCAAGAGTTCCTCTATTTTTAGATTTACGCTCCATCTGTACCATATAATTTAATATGTTTTTAAAAAATATTTATAAATGTAATTGTATTTCAGTTAGCATTCACTTTTGCACCACAATTGGTCATGTTTAGGTTTATGTTTCTGCGTTTAGCAGATGCTTTTATCCAAAGCGACTTACAAAGTAGGCACAATGTTACCGTTCTCTCTAGAGAAAAATCCCTAGTCATTGCTTCCTCTGTGCGTTGTCGGTCTGTTGGACCAGTAGTATCCACTTTCAGTTCTGAAGATTAGATTTCATAAGTCAGAAAATTTGATTTTACTCTTAGCAAATTGTAGATCAAACTTTGGACAAGCTGTAGACCAGTGTTTTCTGTGTTTTCTTTTTTTACCCATAAAGCTGAACACAGCATGACAGTGATCTCACTAGCTAAAAGCCGCAAGTTAGTCAAACTTCATGGCCATTTAAAGTAGTATAAAAAAGCCAATTCATCCCTGAAAAGTTGCTGTATTGGAAGGCTTGTGTTCAACAGACAGGAAGCAAACTCTTTTACTGCATGGTCTCTCTCCCTGGAAAGATGTCAGAGTATCTCATTTTATAAACAGGATTCAGTCATCACATGATTAGACTTTTGAACTCTAGATCTGTTCAATTTTAAGTTCAAACTCGTCTTAACATTCAAAGTCTTCAAATGAAGAGTTCTGGCTGGTTAGCTTAATGTGGGTCCAGTATGGGTGTGCCCTCCTATTTTTTTATCAATGTTTCTCCAGCTTGTCTGCTTCATTTGTTTATGTATCTATTCTGTCCAGCTATATTTCCATTATGTAACCTCTGGTTCAGGTCAAACTCAGTGAACAGCCTTCCTCAGTTCAGACTAATTTTCGTATTGCTTGTTTGTTGTTAATGATCCATTAAGATTGTTATTGAATACACAAGTTAGGGTTTATTAAGACTGGACCTATCATAAAAAACTCAAAGTGAAGGTTCACCAGCGTTTTAATATATTCCAATAGCTTTTTTGATGTTATAACTATGTAAATTAATTCTTGATCTGGCAATTTTGCAAATCCTTTGCGTGTCTAGTTTGCAGATGTGTCAGCCTCTCTGTCGGGTTTTCACGTCTTTGTCCCCACTTTGTCCCGTCACTCCAGGAGGACAACTCAGACCTTAAGTGTCAGCTCCACTTTGCCAAAGAGGAGTCGGCTCTGATGTGCAAGAAGCTGACCAAGCTGGTGAAGGACGGTGAGGCCATGAAGGAGGAGCTGGCCAAGTACCGGTCTCTGTACGGCGACGTCAACGCCTCGCTCACGGTGGAGGAGGTGAGAGGACCGTGGAGTGGATGCCAAGAATTAGCTGTTCAGGGCCAATTTAGTTGGCCAGAATTTTTTGTTTGGACAATGGTGGTGGGGTGGTATTACCTTCAGGTCATTGTGGAAAGAAGTCACAAAACACGGCTGATTGTTTTTTGAGGAGACTTCAAGGGAAATCCAAGCATTCATGTCATTATCCTTTTTTTTTTTAACAGCATTCTTGTCTTAAGTACTTATTGTTAAGGGTTATAAAAACGGTTTCATAAGGTTGTTATAGTGGTTTAGAAAATATCCCCTACTCTTTGTACTCATAAAACCAAAAGCAGCACATAACTAGTTTTCTCCCGTGAGACTGCCCGGAAAAACGTTTGGGTTTTTTAAAAACAATGGGCATTTCCCATTACAAACATTTGTTTTTTTCTTCTTTATAATTGTTTTATTTTCAACTTTTGAAACTTATGATACATTGAGAAAAATGTGAATGATTTAGCAGATTTAAATTTTTTTACAGTTGGTATTTGTCTGACTCGTTAGCATTTAGATATCTGAGGTTGGGATTTTAACATAATAGTTTGTCCTTTCCATGCATGACATTTTGAAAGGTGAAATCAGTGAGGTGACGCTAGGGATCTAAAATTTCTTTGAAAATAAGAGAACTGATACATGGGAAGTGAATTAATATTCCCGTTCTCTTTTCATTTATAATCTCTCTGCCCAGGTTGCTGACTCTCCTCACACCCGTGAGGCTGAGATCAGAGTCCATCTGAAGCTGGTGGAGGAGGAGGCCAACCTGTTGAGCCGGCGCATTGTGGAGCTGGAGGTTGAAAACAGGGGATTAAGAGCCGAAATGGAAGACATGAAGGGGCCACAAGGTAGTTTGCCAAATGAGTAAACAGCGGCACTAAGAGTGCATTGTGTCTTTAAGTTCTCACAAATTAGATCTAATTTTTGAAGGTAGAAAGCATATTTCCATTTGTACGACATGTCTCCAGTACACTTTGTTTCTGTTATGTTGCAGCTTCTCCTCTGAAGTATTTTCATAACCTCTCACTTTGTCTTCATCCCAGATGCTCATCAAGAACTTAGTGGCGGTGGTTTGGGGACGGGGCTCGGTCTCACCGGTGGGGCCTCGTTGCTCGGGGGGGTGGCATCATCTGAAAATGTCATGGAGCTCCAGAGGCATCTCCAGTTCGTTGAGGAAGAGGCGGAGCTGCTGAGGAGGTCTCTGATCGAGATGGAGGAGCAGAACAAGCTCCTGATGAATGAAATAAACCGCTACAAGTCTGAGCTTCCCCCGTCGACGGCCGCACTCTCGTCCAATTCGCTGTTGGCGCTGACCGACGGGCTGCTCAACGACAGCCCCGTCCACTCCATCCAGGAGGGGGCGGTGCTCATCAGCACCGACACGCCGCCCCAGGAGGAGGAGCTCCGTCTGGCCAGGCTTCAGATCGGGGAACTGAGTGGGAAAGTGAAGAAGCTGCAGTATGAGAACCGCGTGCTCCTCTCCAACCTGCAGCGCTGTGATCTGGCCTCCTATCACGGCCTGTCCTCTTCGTCCGCCCCCTCCTCGTTAAGACTGGCCCTGGAGACGGACGCAGAGGCTGGAGACTCAGCTGAGTGCCTCCCGTCCAGGTTATTTCAAGCCTTCTCTGTTGATTTTGATAACATACCTGTATTGAGTCCATCAGGAGGCTCTGGCCAAGCAGTGCGGTCAGAATTAGTCCTGCTGATGCAATAAATTCCACATTATAGGCCAGCACAGGCAGTTGGTTTTTACAGTGGTCTCCCTGATTTTCCCCTCAGCCCACCTCACCGGAGAGAGCCGGTAGGGGAGAACGACACCCCTGAGATCGCCGAACAGAAAAAGAGGATCGAGGACAACTCTGACGCAACAGCAGCGGCCCCCGGGTGCCCCAGGCAGAAGGACCACGATGCCTTGTTGGCCATGAGGGACCAGGCGCGCTTGGTTTCCACGGCGATACAGCTCCTGACCTCCCCCGAGTCCAACTGCCTTACCTCCTCCCCTTCGATTTATCACAAGGTCTGCAACAACGAGGCAGCAGAACCGTGTGACCTGGAGAAACCTCAGCCTCACAGCCAGGTAACCGGCCCCTCCTCTTCTCTCTCCTCTCTGAAACTGCCTGATCAACGTGTCAGATTTGAGACTGGATTCTTTCCCTGTGACTCTTTCTAAGCCTGGTGTGAACTCTTATTATTGCTGAGATGTCAGAAAATCCTCTCCGGTCACCTCATTGCATCGTACCTTCACAGATTGTTTTATCTGCTGATTTGGCGCCTGCGCTTCGTCTGTTTATGCAGGATCATCTAATTTATTAAATCTATCTGTTCCCTCACGCTTCCTAAAATTATCAATACATTTTTAGATAAACTCATTTGTTCTGTTCCCAGATCTCTGAGCTTTCAGAAGTGTCGGACCGTCCTCTGGTTGGCGCTCTGACCAGCAGGCTTCAGGCCCTGAACTCCCAGCTGCAGGCGTTCGTTGAGCAGGTAGACAGCCTTAGTAAACCCGAGTCAGGTGGAAGGGACGCTCAGGCAGAAGGATCGTCCTCTCCGGCCTCCCCCTGCACCTCTGCACCCTGCTCTGGGGATGGCCAGAATCCAGAGAACAGAACAGAGGAGAAGGTACAAATCAAGAAGTCCTTTCCCACTGTCCCCTTCCTCACTCCTTTTCACTCTGTCCCTTTAATTTGTTGTTATATTTTTTAGACTCTTTGTTCTTGGTTCTAGTTTATTTCTCTGTTCTCAGCTCTGGTTTCCATGCCTAAACATTTGTTTGGCTAACCAACACTGTCAATCCCATTCCAACACGCTGCTTGGTTTATCCACACAGTGAAGAATGAATCCACTGAGCATGCTCAGATCTGACTCTCTGCCAGCAACATCCGTTACAACTAAATCGAAATCCGCAGCCTCTTCAATACAACAATATAAGACCCAAATTCTACATTGTGACACAGTCCTCCCTTTGCTGTTTGAATGCAGCGAATGAAGTCAGATTTGAGCTGCCAGTGTGTGTTCATGTCCTCTGCATGCTATTAATTGGCTCCTAACTGGTATTTAGATGCTGCTTTGGGCCTCAAATGGAGAAATTTGCATGGACATGCAATGAGATGCTATGAGATACCATTTATTTGTAACAGTGTTATTCAGAGTTCAACTCTGCTTGCCATGAAATACGTTAGCTGGAAAATTTTCATGGGGTCGTTTCTATAGCATTAAGCCAAAAGTAGATTTTTACATAGTGATAGTTTTAGTCATGTTCAAAACTGCTCTGTACAGTAATGAATATTACTTGGTTAAAGATTCTCTGTTCACATCACAGATACACCAAATGGGTTTTTTGCCACTTAAACTCAAAATATGTCAGCATGAAAAGTGGCTTGAATGTTCCAGAGCTTATTATTGAAAGAACTGTCCAAAAAGATTTTGTAAAGCAGCAGAGGAGCTGGTGAGCTTGCTCTAAAATGACTTCCAGTCATGCTTCATGAATTGCATTTTTCATTTGAAATGCTCCACTGGGAAGTGTATGGGTTGCCATGGATTATCACTGAGTTATGATGTACTGTAGTCTGATTATCTATTTTCACCTAGATGATAGTCCACATAAAATTCCATGTACGTGTACGATTCTAAAAGTAGAAAAAGTACATCTGACTCAGCAGAGTCTTTAAATGGGTTATCTTTCTAAAGTCCCTTAGATGGGCTGTTTTCTCAATAAAATGAAAGAACAAGGAAATTCATCAGTATTACTTTAGAAAGTTCAGAAATTTAAAATCCACCAAGACACCTGAAATTTATGTCTGTTCTGGCGTAAAATTAGGACATTTGGCGTTTTATGTACGGCCTTTACAAGAGACAAATGCCTTCTGAAATCTGTTTTTCTATGGTTATCTGATCTGACTTGCCTTGTTTTGAGGAAACTGATTTTTTTTTTTAAGTGACACCAATAAATTGTAATGTTTAGACTCCATTAGAGGCCAGTTCCAACGCCCGTCCTGTCTCTCCTCCCCTTTCCTTGCTTCTCTCTCTACTTTCCCTCTACCTTTCTGCATGGGCACCATAACTGATCAATTTCTGCACTTGACTTTCACCGTTCCCACCCCTCAAACCCTCTTTTCCTTACACCGTCAAACCTATCCATCCTGCCATGTCTTTACCACCTTGCCTTCCTTGTACACAACACTTCCTTGTACGCTTCCCTTGTTCCCATTCACTCCTTTTTCTTGCCTCGTTTACTTTTTTGTGCCCCTTCCTCCTCACCCTGTTGCTCCATTACCTCTTCGCTCTGGCCTTTCATCCTAACTGCCTTACTCCTTTTCTTCCCCTTCCCATTCCTCCTCTTCTTCTCTGTTCTCCTCTTTATCTTCCACTCCGGTTTTATCTCTCCTGCCTGCATACTTGGCACTTTTCAATGCTCATTGCCATTTCTGCTCCTCGTCCCTCAGCCGTTCATTCTCCCCTCCATTCTCCTCTTCTTTCTTTTCTCCACACTCTCGTTTTCCTCCCTGAGCAAGCTCTTCTTCCTCTACATCCTTTTCTTTGTCTTGTGAGGCCATAAGTCATTGTCGTTTTTTTTTTTCTTTCTGAACGTTGTCACACGGATGGACTCCTTTTTTCTTATTGTATTGTTTGTCTGTCCTGTTTTCTATCATTTCCTCCATTTTGTTTTATTTTGGTTTGTTTTTTTGTCCCACAATGTTTCTTCTCCCATCCCTGTCTGTCTCCTCTATGATTTTTGTGTTCATTTGTTTTGTTTTTTTCTTCATTAACTTGCCCATGCATGCATGCAGCAGCCTGATTATAGGGACCAATCAGAGCCAGAAGTGAAAGATGAAACTAAGGAAAAGAGCCAATCCATCATCAACGAGATGCAGAATCAGGAAACCAGCCAAATGGAACAAGACGACAAGACAGATTGTGAAGCGGTAAGCTCGGTCATTAACACCATGGGCACAAACTTATATTGGAAGAGCATATTTTCCTCAGTCTCAGCACAACTTATGACTGACAGCCAGAAAACACATTTGGTTAAGAGCTGTACACCAGCATTATTCTGCCAAAGTCTCACTCTGCCGTAGGGCAAGATTTCTGGCGTACACGCATAAGTGCATGCAAACATACAGGTCACATCTACTCCTTTTGCAGTCTGTCACTAATGATGAGCCTCCTTAGGGAGTTACACACATTCCGATTGCTTGTAGAGAACTGTCATTTCTTTATCTTCAGGTTTTGTAACTAACAAAATGACATTTCAGCACCATGTCTGACTCCTAGCAAAAGTTATTCATAATTGCATATTTGAAATGGAAATTGGCCCAAAATCCCTCTATATTTATTGTAATGTCCTCCCACTATGGGCTCCCTGTGTGGAAAAAAATCATCAAAGCCTGACACCAGTGGTGTGGAGCAGCGGCAGTGGTGGCCTGTAGCTACACAATGTTGCAAACAAAAACAAACACTGACTTCACTGTCAGCCGTAGAACTGACGGGAAGAAAAGACCTTTGTATGTTTGAACTTCTGCTGGTCTGTCTCCATGGCAACCAGGACTCTGTTTGTCTGCATCTCTTATCCACGATTAAGAGTGTGAATTGGACGAGAGGACTGAGATAGAAAGAGAGCGAGGGAAATTTATATGAGGGAGGCCTCCCAGGAGTGTAGTATAGTAGTATTCAATGTATTTCTATGGTTGTTACCATATCCAATATATAGTTTGATTTGCAGCCCAATATCTAGTCTGTCCATTCACTCTGCACAGCTCTCAGCTTGACAGCACCCTCGCCATTCCCTCTAGAAACCTGATATTCAGCTATTTCAGATTATGTATCAATGACACAGACATGATACATGTGTGCACCCATACAAATGTTCAAAATTAAGTGTTCCAATTAGGGCCGCTAGTGTACAAAATCAGGCATTTAGGCGTGCAGACTGTTCCTACAACCCTTTTGTTAAAGAACAAGTCGCTCTCAGGAGCTCAATGAACTCCAGCATGGACTGTGATAAGATGCCACTTCTCCATCTGTCAATCTGATAGAGTGGCTGAGAGAATGTTCAAATATCCCCATAAACATACTCCAAAACCTTTATTATATATATTATGGCTGCAAAGGGTGGATCAAAGTCATATCAACGTTCCCCGAATGCTTTTTTTGCACATTTTCTTCGAGCACCTGCCACTCTTTCAGAGCAGGGTCATTTTAGAGCAGTTGTCAGATTTGTTTTTGCCTGAAAGTAGAGAGTTCTAGTGGTGGGATGGTGCTGTAAGTGGAGGTTGATGGAGGCCAGAGGCTGAGCCCAGTGGAGGATAAAAAGGGACATTAATGGTACAGTGGTAGGTCGATGGATCACCCTCACTCAGCAGCCAAATGAGCCGTGCCAGAGTGCACGAGAGTGTGCGTGCTGCGTGTGTGCATGGACCTGCAGTCCTGAGCCATAGCTGAAATGGGATATTAAAGGGTGATGTAGTGAAAAACTACTTTCTCACACTTATCCGTTTCTGCCTTTATCATTTTTGCTGGATCTGTCTTTGGTGTCTGTGTTGTGTTTCTGACTCAATTGTTTTCTTCTCCTACGTCCTCTCGTCCAGTTTGCCCGGTCCGATGATTTCCGGGACCAGCTGTTGGAAGCAGAAGGGCTGGTTCGAGGAACTCAGGAGGAACTGGAGAAAGAGAAACAGGATTACAGGGAGATCGCTCTCAAACTCTCACTGGTAAGCTTTCACCCCAAATTAAAACACACTCTGACTGAGTTTATGTAGAAGACATCTGTATAGTCTAAACATACTCAACATTTTTCTGTTTTCCACTCTACCAAATTAGATTTGTGATGCTGTTAAATGCTACTTAAAAGTTGTTGACTGTATTTATAAATTAGCGATATCTTTCTTTGTGGCTTTTAATTATAATATCCTTTGACATTGCAGGTGAATCCTTTGAAAAACAGAAACCCGAAAATTGAAAATAAGAAAATATGGATTTTACAGATCAAAACAAATGTTCTGAAATGTATTTGCGTAGTTTTCTGGCCTTGATTTTTCTCTGTGTGTCTTTTTCTCTTTTTCCCCACCAGCTCCAGGAGGAGCACCAGAAAGCGCTGCTCCGCCGGGACTTTCAGCTGCAGAGTCTGGGCCTCCAGGCTCGGCTTCAGCAGAAGTTCTGGAGTCAGGAGAGAAGTCTGCTGGTCCAAGAATCCCAGCACCTCAAACAGGCCCTGTTACTGCTCAGTCTCAAGCTGCGCTGCTTCCTCAAACAGTGGAGGCTGGGCTGCAAAAAGGACACCGAGTGGAAAGATGTCTTAGAGGTATGAAACTGCTGGGAAGGAAAGGATCGATGCATTTTGTTTTTGACCTCTTCCTTCATGCTTTTTTTTCCTGCTGTTATATTATTTATTTTGTGGTATTTCGGACTTTAAAGTGGAGTGCTTTTTCACCCTGTTGGCTCATAGGAAGAGGGTTCTGGATTCAGATTCTGGCTGGTCCTCTGTGTGAAGCTTAATCTGTGTTATATTTTTGGTTTTGAAAAAATCTATGCCAGAATCATAGTGTTGATTTATCTTAAAGAATTCAATTAAACTTAAACTTTTACTTCTTTTTTTTTTTTTTCAAAATCATCTTAAGAAATTATTGAAACACAATATTTCATAAAAGTAGAATGCGTGTCTTCAGTGTGTGTTGAACTTTGTTGAATTTATGGGTGAATAATTTTGCTCGTGTAGATTTAGATTTTAAATGTGTCTTGACTATGATTGGTTCTTTAGATAAACAGCCTGAAAGACCTGTACTTGCTGTTGGAAGAGGAGAACCTACAGAGCCCCAGTCACCAGGTAGACAATAGAGATTCTGCAGAAGGACAGCCACTCAGCCCAACTATAAAGGTACATGGTTTACAGATTTACTCCCACAGAGTTGCACAAGTTTGACTTTGGAGCACTTTACATGTAAATTGTCTTAAATATATTTTCTGTAGATTCACAGGAGACTTTCTTTTGTAACTTTAACCTGTAAACATGCCTGGGCCCTGTTCCTATAAATAAAGTCTTCAAAATGTGATTACATAAACTGATTTGGGTCCCCACAACATACCTAACACCTTAACCGCACACAAAGATGCACTCATACTCTGGTAATGGATTACTTGTGTTTCCCTGTAGTCCAGTGCTGTGAGCAGCACTTTGGCAGACCTGAGGGTCGCTTTGCAGGATCTCAGCGGAGAGCTGCGACAAGAGAGACAAGGCTCCCAGGAACTCACTCAGCAGTTTGCAAGGGCCAAGGCCTCATGGGAGGTGGAGAGGACAGAGCTGAAGAGCCTCATAACACAGGTAAGGAGGGTGAACTGCTAGTGTCAATGTTTTCACAATGGAACAAACACATATAATTCCTCTGTTTGATTTCAAATTTACTGCCATTATGTTTCGTAGTCTAATAGACAAAAATATATAGTCAGTACTATTTCTTATGAGTTTTTGGAAAAAATGCAGCAATATATTACATACAGGGTTATCATGCTACTATTTCTTTCTAAAATCATAATTTTTCAAACTAACGATAGGCTGAATTTAAGACAAACAATGGAAAAGAAAAAAATATCCATAACAATATTTTGTAAAGAGGTAAATGTTTTCACAGTTTAGGATTTCCTGTGTTATCCTGGTCTCCACCAGCACCCAGAATCAGGGATGCTGACAGGCCTCATTGATCATTGTCATTATCGATAAACGTTCCAGCGTTTGCGTTTGGTTTGCATGATCGTTTGTCTTCTAACCGTCAATTGTTGACAACAGCAGTGTTATGAAGAGATAAGATGCTTTTTAGTTCCTTAAAGTGCTGGTTTAATTGTTCAAATCAAGCTTTTTTTGGGACTCATGTTCTGTGATTCACAGCCAAATCTCACATTCTCACACTTTTTTCGAGCTGAAACAACAGCATGTGCATCTGTAAAATGGCCTTTAATGGCCCCTTTTTTTGTCCGCTGTGTGAACCATCCTATCAAAGATGGCCTGTGTTACCCTGACCTAAATGCCACAGCTGTAAACCATTTCTCCTCTGCCGACAGTGCACCCGGCAAAGTATGCCAACAATTTGCCACAGTGGTGTGTGAAAGTGTGGGTATGTGTGAGATGATGTTCACCAACCAGCTAACGGTGCCGGGGCCAAGGCCTCTGGCAGTGGGTCATCCAGCTGTTGCTTTAACAAACGTGTCAAATCCCAAATTCCTCCCCACCTGTCAAGCATCTTGACGGGACATTATCCTCAGCGTTCCGACTGATAAACAAACATGGTCAGTGAAGTAGAAAGGTTGTCCAGAGTCCTGAAGGCGTGCAAGACGAAACCCTTCTTTTTGTATTAACCCATTTAGATCTGAGATGCCATTTTTACCATCATTTATGGTGGAATCAGTCATCTTTCCTGGCTGTGGAGGACGCCCTAGGCAGCTGCCATCTCTTTAATGACAGAGCGAGCAGCTGGAAGCTCTAATATCTCCTTCATCACATCTGTTACTCATGGAGGGTGGATTTTGACTGATATATCAATTTACAAACTATCAAGTGTCCTCCAGAAAGCGAGGTTGTTTATTTCGAGACAGCTAAGAGTTGAGTAAATGAATCCAATGTTTTCTACCCTGCAATCTCAGTAAATAAGCTCTGTTTACTTCCAGGCTTGGGAAAAGTACTGCCTCTACGTTTACAGATTTAAATAAAGTCTACCTTTTACCTAGTTCCTATATATGTTCTGGACACCTGTAATCCAGTGAAAAAACTCGAGTGTTAGGTCGCAGCAGCAACCCTCACTAAACATGGGGCTCAATAGGCCATGCTCATCATTAAGGAAAATGACTGTGTTGGTAGACTAGGGTTGGGCTAACTCTGCGTGTGTAACACTGTGATTGGTTGCGTGACAGTATCATTAGCACCCAATGCAGACACCACAGAGTCAGACAGAGAGGGGATTGATGGGTCTGGGAGGAGTGGGCGTGTGTGAGCATTAGCGTTTTTCAAACCGACGGGCCCTTAGTGTCAGCTGCGTGCACCACAAGGCTCAGACACAGAGGAGAAAATGCTGAACTGCTCATGAAAAATGTAACGTTCTCACCCACAGCCTCTGCGACAGCAAGTCATATTTATGAAGGGTGGGAAAAGAAGCGGTGGGAGACCTCAAAATAGAGGGTTCTGCAGGGACAAGAAGGGGTGAGACTAAAAGAGAGAGAGTGTGAGGTGGGGTTAGAAAGAAGAGAGAAGGGATTAGAGGAAGTTATTCCAAGAGGTAAGATAACAGAAAGTGGACGGGGATAAAGATGATGGAACATCCCAGTTTGAAAATGTGCTCAAATGAGGGCTTCTGACTTTATATGTTCCTGGATTGCATTTTATTCTTTTTTATAGCCATACATCCCATCCCTTCTTTTTATAGATGCTATATACAATGCAGCTAACATTTATAAGTAATTATCAGAAGGATAGGTTGATATACTTGCACATTTAGTCAATGCAGAACAAACATTTGAATTCAAAATTACTTTTAAATACCATGTAAGGAATTAACAGTGTGTTTAAGCTGTTTAGATCCAAAGACTTTGTTAATAAATTTCAGTTATATCACAACGCTTAAGCATCACAATTATGCCAGTTTTACTCATCTTAATGGTTACACAAGTTCACTGTCTTGGTACAATTGTTTCCTTATAATTAACTGAACAAAAATTCATAGTTGCTGCTGGCTTCACAAAAAGGCTAAAAATGAGCCCTGTTCTTTTTTTTACCTTTCAGCTTGAGACTAAGGCGGGAAAAGCTGCCACAGCATCCTTGTGCTCCATCGAAACACTGGATCCACCTGACCTGAAGGTGGCACTAAAGAGGGAGCGTGAGGAACACCAGCACCTTCTGGCTGAGTCCTATGCAGCTGTAATGGACCTAACTAAACAGGTGTGTATACGTTTGTATATAAAGAGCACCACTGATATGAAGCAAATGAGTCAGCTGGTTAAAGTTAACTTTATTCAGCTTAGAGTGATACACCAAGGCCTGTTTTTTTGTGAGCTATAAATGCAGCTCTAGGCCAGGAATGGTAATATGGTTTTCATTCTGCTGACCCGGCAGCTTCAGATCGGAGAGAGGAACTGGGGCAGAGAGAAGCTGGAGCTGCTGGAGAGGTTCAGCCAGGAGAGAGCTCAGTGGGAGCAGAGACTCAGAGACCGAGACAGCTCTGCACAGCAGGGGAAGGTAAGGGGTGGATAGACACACATCATAGCAATAAATGTCATTACCTGGTAATGCTTGTCGTCATGTTATTATTTTGAATGTTCCATTAGATTCTAAACTGGTGGGCGGTGTTTTGCCACCCAGATCGCTGTCAGTGGAGATCCTTTATTAAAAAGTGGCATACTGATTTACATTTATGACTAGAAATCTCTAAATCCTCCGTACTTCAGAGGATTTTGAGCTCTAAATTAGATGTCTTTGGAGTGGGTGTTTCATCCAGGGATTCTTTTGTGGATATTAACAGTAACCAATTGGTCAGTGCCATGAAGTGAAGAAGGTGTGCTATAGCCTGAGTGTAACTGAGCTGAGCTCACCAGGAAAACATGGTCAGTTGTGCCTGATGATTAGACTCCACTGCAGTCATCAACAAGCAGCTGCAACATATCAGGCAGGACTGAGGATGGACGGCATCATAGGTCACTTTGTGTCCCACAGGCACAGTGCAGACACTTTGAGGTTTTCTGCCTGGGGGTGTCTTTGCCCTGCCTTTCTAACCCTCTTTCCTGTCCAGTCATTTTTTATTTCCCTCTGTCATCCATCTCCCTCCTCTTCCTTCCTCCTCTCTTCATTCCAGTTATTAACCCTTTCACAAGGTGATTATCATGTTCTTTTCACTAAGGTTCCTCCATCAAGGCCAGTTAGTGTAAACTTTGCTTCATCTGTCTGTCAATTAAACAACTTTTATTGTTTCTATCAATATATTTAATGAGTAATATTTAAAAAGTAAACCGGTTTGTTCAGGAAACTGACTTTGCTGTCTCTGAAGCTTCGGTTAGCATGCTGTCCACATGCTCACAGTCCGACTTTGACTTAATGAGCTGCCGGTGAAAATGAAAATGTGCATCAACACAAGTGGACACATTATCCACACAGGCCCCTCTACCTTATCCTCCTTTCCCTTATTCCATCTCTTTACTCTGAAGGGAAATTGCTTCATAGCGTGAGATCAACCGTCAAGTGTGAAACATACTGACTCAGCAACATCTACTGTGTGTGTGTGTGTGTGTTTGTTCAGTCTGCTAGAATTTTGCTAAACCAGAGAAAGTCTCCACTTTCTCTTTAAAATAACCCCAGAGGAAGTGGATGGTGATTTCAGAGGTGTGAAAGAAGTGCAGAAGTGAAGAATGCTGCAAGAGCAATTTGTTCAAATGATGTGATTTGAATATGAAGGTGTAAGATAAAGTGATTTTTTTTCTTACTGTCTTCTTTGTTCTTTTTCTTTTTTGCAGTTGAAGCCTCCAGGTGACGAATCCTCTGCAGACAAAATTGTTCCAAATGGAACATCACCCAGGTGAAAATTAAACACTGAAATTTTCATTCATTTAAGTCAAATTATACCTCTAAGATCTGAGAGATTCTTTTGAAGAGTTGCAGTATAAATGTGTTATATGAACAGCAGAACATGACTTCATTCTCATCAACTTTTCTATGAAAGGACCAAATCCACACTTGAGCTCGAAGGAATAGAGGTCAATGGAACGACCAATCAGGAGGAGAAAACACAACTTGCTGTTGCAGCCCTTTGTACTCGCCCCCAGCCTGGTGACCTCACGGGAAAGAACTGGACCTATCTGAACAATGAGGTTTGTAATTTATGCTTTTGGTCATATACCATTTAGAATTGAAAGTTTTACGTAGTCCTTTTTTACCTTATTACCTTTACTTTCAACCTAACCTACCAATATTAACCTCCTGAGACCCGAGCTTTTATTTGGCATGCATTTTAGCTTTTTTTTTAAAGATATATGAGATACATATTTAATTAAATGTTTTTACAATTTTGTTCTGACAGTCCCATTGACTCATTTACAGTTTTTCTATTACACAATAAGAACATGATTGGATGGAAATGTATAAAACCATTTTACTTTAGATTTCAAACAGTGTCTGATAGCATCTGCTATGAAGTCAAGAGGTCAAAGCTGAAAGAAAAAAAGAAGTATCATGGTAAAGAGAGACAAAAATGCAACGTCCTCTTATGAGGACACAGGGTCTCAGGAGGTTAAGCAAATAGTCAAATAGTTGTTTGTCTTTGTGTATCTCTGTGTGGTCCTTCAATGGTTTGGCGGATCATCTAGGTTGTACCCTGCCTCTCACCCATTGACTACTGGGATAAGCTCCAGTCCCCCATTTGGGAATAAGCGGTTCAGAAAATGGATGCATGGATGGATAGTCAAATTGTTTTATGCTGCTGTCTTTACTCTGGTTTTTAGGCCCCTGAGATAACTGACACCAGTAAAACCTGGGATGGTCCCAGTGGCTCCTCCAGCGGCTTAGCAGGATCCCAGCTGGATCTGGAGTCGGTACAGAGGAGCTACACTGCCCCTGACAGAACTGGCATCCGGATCTACTACAGCCCTCCTGCTGTGAGACGCATGGAGCACCAGAAGAGGAACCAAGACCCCGTCGAGGCCCAGTGCACCCAGAATGGAAACCCGCTTTTCAGAAAGAATGATGCCGAGGCAGGAATGGCTGCAATAGGCACCCTGGGAGCCCAGCACCAACAGGCGGCACCCCCCTATTCTTCCTCTTACGAGCAGTGGCTGAGCTCGCTGTCCAATCAGCACCGGGAGCTGCTGGAGAGCAGAAGCAGCTGCATCTCCACCTCATTACCGAGTGTCATCAACAACAGTGTCAGCAATGGGACTTCTAATAGAGTGGTTGAGGGAATGACGTCCTCTCCTGCTTTCCGGGACCTGGAAATCGGAGAGATGTCAGCAAACTTAAGTGACGACATGAAGGAGATGACCAACTGTGTCCGCCAAGCCATTCGCTCGTCATCTCTGGAGAGAAAACCAAGCAAAGAGCCTGGCTGTCAGGTATGACGGTTTGATTCCTCATCCTTTTGATATATGTGGGTCTTTTTGTTATTTTTTTAATGGCTTTTTTGTATGCAATCGTCTCATTAGACAACTCAACCTCCCCTTTGATTCTCCATCCAGACTGTTGGTGTAAGCACCAAATCCACACAGACTGCTGCTCAGCTCGTCAGTGTCGGCCTTCAAACAGACCTTCCGGGCAGCAGGGGGGTGGGGCTTCACTCCAAAGCCTGGTCTCCTCGTCCATCGGCGACAACCACCTCCCCGCTGGCGTCCGTCCGTACTCGGCAGATTTCAACATCTCTGGATAAAGTTCACAGCCGCATCGAGAGGCCATGCTGCTCTCCCAAGTATGGATCTCCAAAACTGCAGCGCAGGGTGTCTTCTGGTAATTTTCTTTTTAAGCACATGCCTTTCCATTTTCACTGGGTTTTTAGAACCTTTGTAAACTGAGATGGCTCCCTTTTGTTTTCAGGTTCCACCTCCAGACTGGATGCTTCTTCCTCCAACAGGGACCGCAGCCTGTGGAGCCTCCAGCAGAGGTCCATCGGTGGAGGAGGTGGCTCAGCATGGGCTCGTTCCACCACCACCAGGGATAGCCCCGTCCTGAGTGGCCTCACAGACGGCCTGTCCAGCCTCTTCAGTGTGGTGGAGCACTCTGGAAGTACAGAGTCACTTTGGAGGGGCGACCTAGGTACGACGTTGCCTGTGGGCTGTGGCTCTAGTGTCAACAGTACAAAAAGTCTTTATCCAAGTTAATTACTTTTGGAATTCTGTCGAAATATCCCTTCTCCTTTTCTTTTTCTGTTTTAGTAGCCAGTCAGTCTGCCAGCCCAGCTCGGCAGCTCCCAGCTGCAGGAAAACCCTCTGGTGTAGCGCTCTCCGGATCTGACCTCAGCTCTCAGAGATGTGGTGGACTGGTCCAGGAGTTTTTTAAGAATGTCTGCAGCAGCCGGGGCCCCGGAGGCGTTTCCCTGCCCACAGACAGAGCACAGAGAGAGTGCCTCGGCCCCCTCGGAGGTCTCGGTGTTTCTGGGGCGCTAGGCAACGTGGATGAACCCAAACCGGAGTGTATGGCGTTGGCCGTCGGAGGTGCCGGCATGCTGGCCGGGTTGGGTGGCAATGACAGCGTGACCAGGATTGTTAACAAGAGGTTTATGAGACAAACAGCTGGAGAGGAGATGGTCAGTATCTTGGGAGGAGGAAAGGAATCGGTGAGCAATGCTGGGGCTGCTGGATCAGGGGTGGAGGTGAGCTCTCTTTCCTTATCTTGTTTAAGAAACATTTAGACTATCATGAAAAATGCATGAAACATTTCATATATGATGTGAAATAAACATTCACATTTCCATCTTGGTGCAAATTGATTTTTTTTCTCCTTCCCAGGAGGCACCATGCGACTGCGCTGCACAGCCTTCCTGCTACGCCAGACCATCAAGACCAGCTGCTCGCCACTGCAAGCACCGTCCACAAGACCCTACGGCGGCGGCGGCGGCGGAAGATAAGAGCGACACCGGCAATGAGTGATGAGACTGCTACTGCCCCACAGCACACATAGGAAGACACAATGCAACACCACTTCCTCATGAACACAACTGCCATAAAAACAACTCCTCTCCCGTTACCAAATGTACATACAGTCCAACAACCTGCCACACAGGCACACTGCCAAACATAACACACACCGCACGGGCTGCCTCACAAGACTACTGCCAGCTGCACACACTCGCAAACACAGATTCTCAGAGGCCGGGCAGTGATGCACCTGTCTTGGACTATCACTCTGATGCCAAGGACAGATCTAACCCTCATTTAACTACCAGCAGGACAGAGAACACAGACATTGATTCACACTCCGACTGTACAAGAATAAACTGAGGGGATGCTAACGATTTAAATGAACTTGTTAGGCCTGGACCTGTAAAACAAAATCCCCAACATAAAGAATAAAAGGTACTAAATGCAAAGGTCTGATCACCTTGTTAGACTTTATATTGCCATCGCACTGTTGAACAAGCAGCTATATCAGATATATAATTGGGCAAGGTGAAAAGAAAGCATGCATTCACAATTTGAGTATGAATATAAAGTCCATGTGTCACTTTCCGAGCGATGAAACATCTCAGAAGACATCCACCACAGCTGGAAAGGTCTTTTCTGTTGTGTTTACAGCTCCGAAAACAATCAAAGTGTGAGATGTTATCTGATGGAAAGCTCCGCTGATTGTTCCAGTGGGGCTTCTGCAGACACAGACTCTGTAACTTGTCCCAAAACCCAGTTGCCGTGCTGGAAAATTGTGCCGCTTAGATTAATTAGAACAATAACATTCCAGCGAGTGTCTCCAATGTGGGTCTGTATTATACATTACTGACAAGTTTACAGTGTCTTTCATTAGTACACGAAAGAAAGGCTCAAATAGTGTTGAGCTGGGTGTCCCAAGATGACCAGACTTAGACCCGATTGAAGAATGTTGTCATTTAAAGGCTCTATGGTTGAGATTGTGGAACCGTTTTCCCCAGAGAAACTCCAACCTGTGTTTTTTAACTGAAACGTCAAAAACCTCTTCAGGCTTGATATAAGAGAAATGGCCACAAATATGGGAACGTAAAATGACGTGAAGCCATGGCTTAAGCCCTGTAAATGTTCAATGTTTTCGTCAGAGACTGCTTATCGAATCAATATTTTGGTTTGAATTTTTTTTTTACCATGCAGTCAGATGTAGTTTTTCCGATGTCAAGGTTCATAACTTTTAACTGACTATATTTTAACATGTCCAGTCCTGTAGTCACCATTGTGAAATGGTTCCATTTCATCTAACTGAGACCCCATCCGCTTTGTTGAAAGGACATCAACTAGAAATGCACTAAAATAATTTTATTTCCTTTTTTGTCTTCCACTCTTATCTACTCCAGCTTTTTAATCAAATTTACACTCAAATTTACACATAAGCATAACCCATCTGTCAGTCCATGTATTCTATGCTTCATTCACAAATAAATATACATACGTGTATATTTATATACATTTACAATTTGTTATGAAAATCAAATGAACATTGCAGTCACAGCCAAACTGAGTCTGCTAAAACTGTCACTATTGACCCATGAAGCTAAACTCCTCAAAAACATTCTTTGTTCTTTTATTTTACTTTAAAAAAAAAAAAACTGAAGGTCTTTGGCCTTTGCTCAAAGCATGCCTGCAGATTGTTGTCGACTCTTCAGCTTTTGTCTGTATCACTGCATCATTCCCTGGTCTAATGGAGGGGGATAGTTTTAAAACACTTTCCTGTAACAGCTTGCATCTCCATCTCTCTTCCATCTATCCTTGTTTTTGCACTGAAAGTTTTTTTTTAGGGGGGGGGTCTATTTACTTCACTTGCAAACTTTGGTCAAATTGATTTTCTAATTGAAAAATGCACTGTATATTTGACTTTTTCTTAAATAGCGATTCCAAGATAATAGAAGGAGAATTATGTCTGCACAAACAGGAGAAATTTGAATATAAGAGGAGGACTACAAAGTCTTTTTAGTAAATGGGAAAACTCCAGAAGAAATGGAAAACAATCATGTTTGAAAGGGTTTTTTAATTTATATGTTTTTCCTCCGAACATTTGCTTGCTATGTTAATATATTTGTAATTAATGGACTTATCAAAGTGCCTGCTGGATAGCCTGTTAGTCAGCTCACACCAAAATTGGATTTCACTTAAAAACAAAAAAAACCAAGCAGCCTATTTTTAATAAGCAAGATTGTTTAATGCACATGATTACAATCAGTATTAAAGCTGCAATAAAGTCGTGCACCACAATAACGGAGGGACAAAATGATTAACAGGTATTGGAGAATGTCATAGTAACTATATATGAACTTTTTTTTATCAAGGGTTACATTTCTGGAAAGTAAATTATTTTTATTCAATTTTGTTTCTTTTTGTCGACGTTTTGCTGATATATTGGTTTGTTTATATTTCTGTCTCATTATCATGGTGCTACTCTTTGTAAAGTCTGCTGTAGGCTTGCTGCCTCGAAGGCGTCTGAATGAGCAGCAGTCGAGTGATTGTCGGTCTCCGCGCACCGTTTAATGACTCAGCAGTTAATAACAGGGCATTCACAGAAACATTGCATGTTTCTGAATAACACACTGAGGAAAACCCAAAATGTCTATGCTGCTGCCTGTCTCCATTTCAGCCTTCACTGCAAAAGCAACTGCATGAAACCAGTCTCAGCTTCAGAAGCTACCAGCCTGTTTATATCAGGATTAGACCCTCAAATACACTTAAATATATAGAATTGTGGGAAACATAACCACAGTTATACAGGTTTTGTTTTTTTGTCTATTTTTAAGCTTAAACCAATAATTAAAGTTTTCAAAAGCAGCTACTATTTCATTCTACATTCCATTGCATTTTGAACATATAAACCTTCTATTTTCATTTAACAAACCCCATTATTCCATAAATAATCAACATTATATATTTTAAAGCGACAAATACAAGTGGAACCTAAACTCGATTATAAAACCATGACAGAGTTATAGTTTTTTGGCTCACTGAACATGTTAGTATACCCAACATGATACCTATAAAGACAATTTCAATGGTTCACCTCTTGGAAGAAAACACTTTCAGGAGATGCTCTGTTGATACACTTAACAAGCAGCCTTTTAAAGTCTGTCTCTGTTTTTCTACCCTGCTTTCTACAGCTGTAGTGTGCTAGGACATCTTAATAGCAAGAAGAAAACTGTTAACACCAAATGCAGAAGTTGCTTGAGAGTTATGCATAAAACTTAACGTTGATGCCTCTCTTTATGCAACACATATTTCCTATATTAAAATCCTACAGTTGATATTTGCCCCAGCGCTGCTTTTGAAAGACTCTTGCCATTAGCGACAGCTTAAATCAACAGGATTGCGTACTTCGAATTATTTTGAAAACTTAAGAGGTGCCTCTGGTAGTACAGAACATTTTAACAGGTGTCCGGTTTACAAGCTGCAAATACAATTTGTATACACAATCAGCTAATTAAAACCCATCAAATCCCTCCACATTATTTTTCATTCATTAACAAAAAAAAGAACACTTTTTTGCTTCTCATGGAGCACAAATTTCAGCTACATCTCCAACTTGTTTGCGCTATTTAACATTGTTTTCCATTCACTTTCTTTATCCTAGTCAGAATTGTCTATCTGCAGTTAGATTACGCAAAAAAAATATTTACAGACAAGAATGATGCCAATACAGACAAAGCTGAAGTATTGAAGTTCTATCCAATGTTGACTCTGTCATCTAACATACTCACCTTTTGCCCCCTGAAAGGAATAGAAACCACAAAGGAACCACTTTCATTAGCAGCTGCTGTTTTAGATACACTGCAGAGTTACTACATCTTCCATAATACGCATTTAGAATTTAAACACACAACTGCAATAAATATCAATAAGGGTAGATTTTTGTTTAAAAGTTTAAAAAAACCTTACAGTAATAATGACTGCGTACACATTAGATGCAACAGTTTGACAGGGATTTTGGTATAATTTAGTTTAAGTGTAATGTAATTTTCAGCATCCACAATTTGTGTATAAAAATGTATTTAAATAGCAAGACGATGACATAGATCTTTGTCGAGTTTGTTATAAAAGTATGAAACTCTCAGCAGAAAGTTTACCAGATTCAGTTCTACCTCTTCAGTGTTTTGATAACACTGAGATCATTAAACAACACAGAACTTGATGTATACCTAGGCCGACACAATGAAACAGGGTTTTCACTGTTTTACTGTCCACAACAAGGTTACTTTTGTGCCTTTCCTCTCCAGAAGTATCCTTTTTATTTTCATTAGTTCAAATATTTATATTGTTCCCAGACTAATTATATCAGGAAATTAGTTGAAATAACATAATTCAGTCATATTTGTTATTCTCCAATTTCTAATTTACCTGGTGGGGGATTTAATGAGAGTAAAGCAAAAAAAAAAAAAAAAGAATGAAAAAAAAGTGAGACACACCAGTAATTCAGACACAGATCTGAATTTTGGAATTAAATAGTTGGGAAAAAAAGGATCACTTAAGAAAGAATAAGTAAGTAGTTTCAGTATCTATTTGATTACAATTCCAATACGAAATATTCATCTGAAATCAGCTGACATTTACAGCAGCTTGATATCACTTTTTCATTCAATGAAAGTCCTCTTTTCAAAAGCTTTTCTACCCGCCTGTCAGATGTCACATTTTCTCTTTCCCCTCAGGTTATATACAGCAGGCTTTTCGGCCACTTACTGAAAGGTTTTACAGGTCACACATCACCAGCCAATGACAGATATATTTCTTACAGGTTGCATGTCACAAACCATGAGTCTTATTGCTCACTGTCTCCAAAAACCTTTTTTTTATTTTGTAACCCAACTCCATACCATTCTTATGATTTTAAAATGCTGGGATTATGTAAATGAATTGATGAATTCTTAACTGTTCATAATGGTAGCTACACTATTACCTAGAGACTGCCTGTACATTTGCTTAATGCTGTAACCTAATATTGTACTTTTTTTAAGCAGTTCTGGTTATTAAAGGAGAATGCAATGAAAGCTAGCTAAAATGAGTACTTGGCAGAGAAATGGGCCCGTTTGTATTGCAACTTGGTAAGAAAGAAAAGGTTTGTACTCAGTCCTTTTGTTTTTCTTTGAGAAAAGCTGAATGTCAGCAGCTGATCTGACCCAGGTCACTGTAGAAGTATGTAGCTCTCTCCCTTTATAGACCACACTTGAGCATTTCCTCTGTACATAGGCCCATTTTGATGATGATCCGATACAACAGATGAATGAATATGTTTTAAAAAATATGGTAATGGCAAAAGAGTTAATGAAAGTACAGCCATTTTTAAAGGACCTGGGATTATTTCTTTTTCCAACCAATGTAGCTTGTAAAACAAGATATAACTGCCTCCTGTTTGTCATAAAATTCACAAATAAATGTTTGATGGATTTTAAGATGGTTTGCTGTTTCCTTTTTCTGTGTACATGTTCAGCTTTTTTTTTCACAATATCTTGAACGTCCTGTAGTGCTTTGAGTTTATTTGAGTTGAGAAATAAACTACATTTACACTTCTAAACTGACAACTGTTCAAACTATCTTGAGACTGGATGTTACATTTTAATGTTAGGTGCAGTATCTATGGCTAGTTTCCACATTATGTCATACATGTTTCACCAGTGACTGCCAGAATGAGAAGATAGTGACATTAATGGGGTTTGTGAAAGTGCTCATCATTTGGACTAGATTAAAAAGTGTCCCAGATGATTAGGCGGGGTGGACAGATGGCTCTTTGTGGAGACTTCTCACTTGGAAAACACACACAATGTGAAAGATGCATTCTGCAGCGAGGATCATTAAGAGGCGGATAACTTCCTGTTCTCTGTAAAGCAGCCAAAACTACCGACTAAATCAATTTGTGTAATAATCTGCTTATGTGACATTTTTCTGTTTATCCCTTTGTTTGTTTGGTCTCCATATGTTGCCAAACGACAACAGTACTTCAAGCTACAGAAACAAAAAGACATGGAAAAGAAAATCTACTTAAGCTATAATGAGAGTTATACTGAGATTTCTATATATACACTAAGATATACTAGATAATCTTGGTCTAATACAGTATCTAATAATAAAACAGCAACAGAATAAGAAAGTGACAGTGTTGACACATGGAAAGGGACATTGTGCAGTTCTAATAGTTTAAGACTTGGTTAATCACAAAGCAGTGGCTTAATTTGTTATACTCTGTGTAGGCATAGATATCTGTGTTCCCTTTTATCTGGTGTAATTTGGGAAAATTAATTTTGGCTGGATATAGAACATCAACAAATGATTGGAAACTTTGACCATACTATCAGGGTGCAATCAATTACAAAAAGCAACAAAGTGTGAAACATGGTGGACCAGTGAGTTTAACCTATGGCCATCTGCTACTCGTGGCCAAAAGAAAAAAGTGCATTGTTATATTGTGAAATGCAGAATGTATTAATTTAATCCAAATTTCTGAATTCAACCCCAGTCTTTCTTTATTCATTTCTCACTTCATCAACTACATTACCAGGTCTTGTCCCGAAATGACTCGACAAGTACTCAAAATGTCTAAATTTCATTTTCTTCCATTGGTTATTTGATATGGTGCCCTTTATTCTTTCTCACTCAACAATTGTCATGTTAGCAAGAATAAAAACAAGCAAGAGATGGCTGTCAGCACCCCTAGTTTCAGGAAGTGACCTAATTATGGTAACATACTAAAACAAAGGAACCACTTCCTGTTTTTACTGAAGTAAGACAAGGATTGGTAGTACACTATTTGACTTTTTCCTGTAATAAATTTTTGGACCAGTATGCACAATTAGTTTTCTCACATCCACAATCTTGTTTTGCTGTCGTTCCTTCTGTAATAAAAATTGAGTAATTGAAGGATGAATAGTTCGATGAGAAATGTATTTGCTCATGAACTGCAAATCTTCTTTCTAGACTTTTATTCAGACAAAAAAATAATTAATATCCATCCATCGATTATTGTTACCGCTTATTCCCTAATGGGGTCGCGGGGAGAACTGGAGCCTTTCCCAGTGGTCAATGGGCGAGAGGCGGGGTACACCCTGGACAGTCCACCAGTCCCTCGCAATTCCCATAAACCTTGAATTGTTTTTTAAGGACATTTTTATAACAGTGTTATAAACTGGCAAGATTTCTTTTGATTGAGAACTTTATTTTCTTTAACTAACAATAAACCAAATCAAATCTGATCATGTTATGGAGGTTGAGAAAGAAATTTTCCTACTATTGCCATTTGTGAACCTCATACTGCTGAAAACTTTCACTGTTAATTAATGATGTAGAAACACAGGTTCAAAATACACAGTCAATATGGCTCCGCTAATCAAACTATACACAAGGAGAGGAACTCTGTCATGCACGCTCCATTAAATCTCTGCTGTGGTGAGGGCTAAATCTACGTTGAGAGGAAGGGAGTGACTTCCCTTCATGAAAGCACATACTGAACATTGTTAAGAAGGTCGTTATAAGCTAAAAGAATGAAGTCATCACAAAACAAGCTAAGTAACCACAGATAACAGAAAAGTGTAAACTACAACAAGAAACATATATTTTCTGTTTGGGTTAGGGAAGCAGAAACCTCTCTGACTTTAGGATTAGATGTTAAATCTTCCATTTGATAAAGCTTATGGTTATAGATGGCAACCCTGAAACATCCCAAGGTATGCTGCTACTCTGCCCTCTTTCACCCTTCAGATACATAAAGAATGATTGTTTCTCTCTCTGTTCCTTCTAAGTAGGTGCTGCTTTTTTGTTTGGTGCTTCTTAATCCCTGTTTCCTCAATTGAAAAGGTTAAACGCTGCATTTGTATAGTTTATCCAGCAGTCTTTTTAAACCTGCTTGTTGTTTTATTCTTTGTGATATTAGGTGGTGCGCTAAAGTCTGTGCTGTGCATGTCATTTTAAGGATCACTGGACTGGATTTTTTATTTGAACTGCAATGAGCACAGATAAGTAAAACAGGTTGGGTTTTTATAAATGAACTCCAAAGAATGTTTACCAAGGAAAATATGCTGAAAAAATGGAGAAGATGTAATCCATTTGTATATAATATTTATACTTGAGTAATCTCTGAGTCTGCACTGCCATCTCCTGGCTGTGTCAAGAAGTCCATTAACTTAAAAGATAGAGAGACTTAATGTATTATAAGGAATGTATTTTGTGCAGGTGCATCACATCGGGTTTTTGGGTCGTAACAAGTGACATCAAGATGTCATAAAATTTTAAATACTTGTGTTTGACACAATGGTGTCACATTTTGAACATGAATATTTTGCACCTTTGAATCACCGGTTTTAAAACTCGCAAGAGAACAGCTAGACTAAAAAGCAAATAATTTAATAATAATTCAGACGCAACATTTATTTTTTACTTTAACTTGGCAGTTACCTCTGATTTCTTGCCTCTACCAAGCTCGTTTTAACATTGGTTTCTTTATAATATTTGCTAGTCTTTAATATAATATTTAGACCAAATTAAATCAAATGGATAAGTCGGAGGTAAGGATCTTTTTTATACCAGAAATACCTGATGGGACCAAACAGAAAAGGTCCTGTATGTACCAGTGAATACGCACAAAGGATGAATTTGTTACCATCACAATCAGGAAATACAATATATTCCATGTTGGAACTCCAATAAATGGGGTTTTGCTCCTGATTTACCCCTATATGTTCTTTAAAATTTAAAATCTTATGCATGTTCGCTGTAGATTATCTGTTAGATTTAGGAAGCTGAGATCTCTTACGCAGTATTAGTTTCTTGACAGCCTTAGACAACGCAGGAGTCTTTCTTGCCCTACAATTCTTCTGCCAAGGCTCATTGAAGAAGATTCTAATAGAAAAAAAAACAGTCAGCTTGCATGTCTTTGTTTTAATTGATAAACATAAATTGGAATGTATCACAAGCAGCTTTAGGATAAATGGACTGAAGACTAACTGAAACATCTCAGAGTAGCAGATGTCAGTGTTACACATGTCAAACATAAAAAAGCAAACATCATCACATTATCTGATAAATCATCTGTCAAACTGCCATTCGCTTTCAAGTTATGTTCTCGTCTATAGATGAGAGGATTATGTGCAACTACGACTATTAGTACCAGCAAACTCCTACTGAGCTTTTTTTTTTCTTTTTAATCATGTGGACAAAACAAACAAGCACATGCTTTCCACCTTCAGGTGGTGACAAAACAGGGTAAACCAGTGGATCAGAAGTTTATGGGAAAAACATCCTCTAGATAAAATGTACAACCTACTCATTGCTACATAAAGCTACTGCCTAACTAGTGCTGCTAAACAGCTCTTAATTGTAATGGCACGCATCTTAAACACAACCCCGACAGCTTTAAAATAACCAGAAAATCATTAGTTTACGACACCCACCATCAAAGGCTAACGATCCGGGGGGGGCCTTGACAGCGGCATGATATATTGCACAAGAGACTCAGCGCTCTAAAAAATAATCCCTCTAAAACAAAGACGAGACTGAGATGCATGGAAAGGCAAAGACGTTGAATATTAGTGTCATGCATCTCGCTTCACAGTATTCCTCAAAGGAGGTTTTGTACACCGTCCAGACAAGTCGGCGAATGGTTCTAGCTGAAAAGACCCTCATCGACCATTTGTGCAAACCTCAGAAAAGAAAAAAAAAACGCATCTTGTTCACACCCCCTAAAAGCAAAGCTCTCTGCTGCATGAAGATGAGAGAAGAGCCGGCAGGACGTCTCATTCACCGTCCACCTGTGAACAGCAAAGTGGGACCCTGTGTGAAAAATGAAAAACAGGTCTTACAAACTCGCTCTGACAGGTCAAACACAGGCTGGAGTGGTTTGATAGTTCCGGGAGTACAGGGGGCCACAGTGATTTTGCTTCATCCTCACACGGCTGTAGCAGTATATCTGTCTTAAGAAAACAGGATAATCAGCAGTTCAGTAATGGGTCTCTGGTGGACTACAGCCAATCGTGTTATATTGGCAACTCATACACGTATTAAATATCTTTAAAAATGATTGTAGCCATTGTTGCCGAAACAATTTGAGTGCCAGGAAATTTCCATTTATTTTTTTGTCTTTGATCTATTTGCTGGGGGTGATTTTGTCAAGTCCTGGCCAAGTTGGGACGTAGTAACGCGGCAAGGTGCCTTCCATGAGTCTCTCCATCCACAGCCCCAGGCGGTCCAGTTTGTGGTGGACCTGCAGGGTGGAGAGGCTGCGGGAGCGGTTGGATTTGCGTGGCGGGTGATGATCGTCCCGAGAGCTGGACCTGCTGGACTTTCCTCCCGGCGCGCCACCCTCGTCCTCGGACGACTTGCTCTCCGGGTCTTCTCCGGTGTAGACGGGCTTGAACAGACACAGGTACTTCTTGTGGCCGTTGAGCGCCAGCACGTAGCCGGTGTAATCCCTCTTCCGCCTGCCGCCGCCGCCGCCGCCGTCCTCCTCCTCCGCATCGGCCTGCACGGCGTGCTGGGCGTACTCCAGCAGCGTGCTCATCCACTCGCCGTGCTTGTCAAAGTTCAGGAAGGAGAAATGCAGCGTCATGCTCCTAGAAAAACACCAACACGGAAATAATATCTGAAAACACACACAAAGGCAACGCTGACCGCCGGCTTTTTCCGACTCTGCCCTCCAGTTTTTTGCTCACCCAGTGAAGGAGTAGACCTCTTTGGCGAACTTGCTGAGGAGGATGTTCTTGGAGGCGTCGGTGAGCACCAGCACTATGTTCATGTGGCCCGGCCTCAGCTTGACCAAGTTGCTGATATAGGTGATGTCCGTCAGCTCTGTCACCTCCACAAAGTTCTTTTTAGGGGGCCGACTAAAATCGACAGCAAGACAACAGCACCAAATGAATGCAAATCGTTTTGTTTTTTCACCTCGACATGCAGCCTGACTTCAATACACCAAACTAGCCATTGGCAAAGGGGCCATGTAAATTATTATAAGCCCATTAAAATCAAGAGGAATTTAAGAGTTTCCTTGCCCTGATGTATTGCTGCTCCCTGATGACCCGTTTTCCGCTTTAGCCCCATCTTTTGTCTTTGGTTTGGTCTGGTTATCATCACTTGAGTCACTGCAGTGAAAGCAAAAAAAACAAAAGAACATAATTCTATTTATCTGACTACTTCTTTTTTATTTTAAAAACCTTTCTGTGTACATTGTCATGGTCCAACCTGAAAGCCTGGATGACCACAGTTCCAAACAAGATGAACAAGGCAGAGAAGATGAGGGACAGGAGAGGCATCATCTCTCGCCTAAACCATCCACACGTCCGGAGGAGAAAAAGTTACTTTTTTTTTAACTTCCCAATAGGCGGTTTTACATTACGTCTCAGTGACACTTACCAGTTGTTGTGGAGAATATCATCGATGACTTCTGAGAGGTAATCGTAAGATGCATAGATCCACCGTATTAAAAACATCTGCAGAGGAACAGCAGCTTAGTAACAGCACAGATGGGCACTGGTCACATTAGCAACACATTACTGTGGATCTCAGTCACACGGGAACGCACTGAGGCAAACTCATTGTTGAGTTCGGGCAGCATGGCGTCGTGGACCAGGATGGACGGGTCCTTGTGAAGATGCTCCAGCTCCTCCGTAAGACGCTGTTTGTCTTCCTCGCTGCCGTTCCAGGCGGTGGCCGTCTTGAACAGCGCTTTTCCGGCTGCATTGCGCCGCTCCAGGATCACCACCTGCCAAAGAAGATTAAACAAGAAGACAAAAAAGAAGATAAAACAAGCATTAAGCCAGAGCAGACAAGACGGAACCAGTCAGTAAATAAAACCTAAGAAGGTTTTATTTTCCAAGTCGCAACCGCATTGGCAAAACAGCTGAAAAGACCAATGATAAAAAAATGACAGAACATTGAATGAAATAGTCTGCAGCAGCTTAACTGTTACGCAATGGGAACATTTTTCAGTTTATGAAATTCAACACTCTGCAAAGAGTTGTTGAAAGCCTGACATTTAAAGAATAGATGAGGCAACGCAGAGAAGACAAGCCCCTGTCCCAGATGTTTTGAAAGATGTATCTTTTGAAATAAAAACATGTCATTGCTCAGTTGGAGTAACAGTCAGTCTGTGCTGAACGTGTGGACGGGTACCTGCGACGGTGTCTGGCTCTCCTGGCTCTGCATGAGGATGTCGCAGAGCGGCTGCTGCAGCCGCTGGTACACATAAGCAAACCTGACCACTTCTTTGGTGTTGGCCGAAGCAAAAGAGAAAAACGCCCGGTTCCCAAAAGAAAAGGACTCCTCATCGCCGGTGATCAGCAGCACACAGTATCTGCGGGTGTGAAAGAGGTTCAAAAACAGATTCAAATGAGCTCGAGTGGGACACGAATACCGGGACATGGAAAAACCAAGACTCGTACTTCCTGCGTCTGTGAAACTGCTTGACGGGACAGAGCTCATCGAAGAGCTTCTGATTGACCAGCCGGGGCGCAAGAAGAAACTTGTTGTTTGACATGAACTCGTCGATTATTTGCTTTTTCATCCCTTTAGCCTGTTGAAAAACGAGACGTCATGATGTTCATGTGCAAGGGAGCATCCCGTCTCCATTTCCAGAAGCTGAGCTTTGCTTCACCTGTATAATGTCAGCGGGCTTTTCGATGTTCTCCTTGAAGACCAGCATGGTCGGAGCGTAAGTGTTAATATTGAACTGTTTCTGTAGGTTGGCAGTCTCTGAGAGGCCCTGGTCCACGTAACCAAACTGCAAGTAGTCCCTATAAGCAAACGCTGTCAGCTATGGAGATAAAAAAAAAGAGAACGATTGGTATGTTTCCATTGGCGGCACTGAAGGACGTTACATATGGAAAAAAGAAAAAAAAACATCTTACTTTGTACAGCAGAGGGACTGCAGGCACTTGGTCAAACAGAAGCACGTGTGGCTTGTTCAGCTCGTGCCAGGTGTTCAAAAACTGCTGCTCGTTCTTGTCGCTGACCTAAAATGTATAAAATGAGAGGTTTTAATCATTTTGAGGAATACTGACAACCCCCTATGAACTAGCATATGTTGGAGTCTTTATTACATTTGACATAAATCTTGTCAGTGCACATTATTACCCGCTCCACAAGTCTCTGAGGGAGAAGATCTTCTACAAACTGCCTCAGGTGTTCCTTTGCCACAGCGTAGTGGAAAAACGTCACTTTGCCATTTAGGACTCCGAGGATGGACGGGGTGCGGTGAGCCCCCAGGTGGTTGGCTAACCGCCTCTCGTAGCCAACATCCACCACACCTATTCCAACACCTGCACAGACAGGACGCCCATGAGCACGGGGGAACCTGCCCCACTCACCTGGTGGAAAATCGTGTGAGACGGGGTAACTGGACATTTTCTCCAGCCCATTCCAGACCTAGACTCTCCAACTCCAGCACCACGTCCTTCCAGACCGGTTCGATGTGGATGCAGCTGAAGCACCAGTCAGAGGTGATCTTTATCAGGTACGGCCTCCGGTAGCTGTCGGGCACCACGTCGCTGACGTACTGGTTGAAGTGCAGAGTGTACTTGCTGTCGGTGAACTCTCGGTGGTTCTTTGTGTTGAAGGGGAAGTTGAAGAAGGACTCATCGAAGTAAAAGCTGTCGTGCCGATGGCCGTAGCGACTGCTGCCATACGGCTGGGTGTCATCGGTCTGTCCAAAGCGGTCGTAATTGGAACGTTTTTCCTCACTAGACAGGATCTAGTTGGGAGGTAGAGGAGAGTAATATAGTGTCACATCCCCTCATCTCATTTAAATAGCTTTTATTATTCTTAATACAACGATTTTGTTATTCTTATTGCTGTTGTGCGATTGTAGAATTCTAGTTATTCGTTTTTTGTTCCTCACAGAAAATACAATTAAATGTATCTTCACAACAGGCTGGCATTCAATGTGTCTGAAGATAAAATATATCACTGGTTCTGTGCTAAATCATCTGTTATATGGCTAGTTCATCCCTTGAGTTATGTCCCTCTTTTATGCTTGAGTCATTCACAGTTCAGTTAGAGAGATACACACAAGAAAACATGAAAAACAGAAAATATGACAAATGACAAGAAATTTGGAAAAATATAAACAAAATGTGGAGTACACAGCACTGCAGTTGTGAAATATGATTCAAAGCATGACTAACCTCATAAGACTTAGAGATCTTGATAAACATGTCCTCTGCGCCCGGATTTTTGTTTTTGTCAGGGTGCCTTCAGGGGAAAATGGTCATTAGTAAACAACCGAGTGAAGATTGAGACATAAAGTAAGAAAATATACTAACCATTCTTTCGCGAGCCGCTTGTAGACCTTCTTGATCTCAGCCTGGCTTGCACCCCTGGTCACTCCTAGTATTTTGTAGGGGTCCGTCTCAGACCCGGCATGGGCTGGTCCTGCCAACAGCACCAACAGGAGCACCACCAGAGCCAGAGACATCACTGACCCTGTCATCACAGTTACCTTAACACACCAGGGCCGTCAACACCGTCGGCTTAAACTGGACCGAGGACCTCCACATCACTGACATGGATTTTAGATGGCTGACAAATCTGAGACACACAGCTGTTCCTCCAAAATGGCATTAGAGCACGGCGTCTACACAGGCCAGGAAAGCTTCGTAACTCATAGGAGAAAGCGGCGTTGGCCCATGGCAATAACGTTTTTCCTCGCGGATAAAACGTTGACGCATTTCAGTTGTAGCCGGTGGTGTTGCTGTCTCAGTGCAACATCCCCCATCAACCCGTGAGGATGCCGTCAGCCGGGAAAACGCCACATGTTTAAGGGATGGTGCTTCTCGTTTTTAGCTAACGTTCAGAATAAACGGTGGCCGAATACAGGGTGTGTTCCGCTGCATCCCCCAGTTCCTCTTAGGCTCGCTGATGATAACCTGCTGCAAGCGGGAGAAGGAAGGAGGAGAAGCAAGCTCAGGCTGACGAAAGTCATTTTGGGAGATTGAGTATTTGGCTGCTGCTTCGGTTTTTGGGATACGTTCGGTTTGTCTGCTGTCAGGTCGCTTCTTTCAACCTTCGTGTAGATGTCTAGAGTTCGTTGCGCAACAGCGACGTGTTGTGAAAACAATCGAGCGCACCCTGCCTTTCTTCAGCTGACCAATCACAGACAGCGGTGATGTAAACAAGGAAATAACAAGCGTAACCGCAACTAAATAAAATACACCGGAGACTTCAGTTTTTACACGAACAAGTTTCATTTTTACAAAGAAGGAGGTTTGTCTTATGAGAACGACAGAGCTTGTAAAAAGAAATATAAGCCAGGAACATTTTTTTGTTCTGAATGGGAAATGGAGGAACAACACAAAAGGATTCTACAACGAAACAGGATCAACCTGGTGAGAGAATTAGATCCATCAAACCTCTTTGATGCCTTACTTGAAAAAGGCGTTTTTACCCAGGACATGGTCGATAAGATAAAGGTAGGTTTAGGAACTTGATTAAAGGTTTTCATGAGCTTGGACTAAACGGTAAACACAAGTCATTTTGACTCCTCACAGAGCGCGGGGACCAGACGAGACCAGGCAAGGCAGTTAGTCCGGGATTTAGAGACCCGCGGGAGTCGAGCCTTTCCTCTGTTTCTGGAGTGCCTTCAGGAGACAGGTCAGCACAGCCTGGCAGAGATCCTACGGAATGGAGCCCCAGCGGTTAGGTTTCAGCCTGAGATACCCACAAAGGTGGCCCGTCCTGTTATCAAGCCTCTTCCAGTTAGTAAGTATGAATATATGGTCCATTTAAGCTGAGCTGACGCTGTGACTGTCACTTCTAACAATATGAACACTCTTATTGGTGTTAAAGTTAAAGTTTCTGTGGATGATGCTAAAATAAGCGAAGATGTCGCCACCATCTATCCATCACCGAGGCCCACCACTACTCCCAGTCCACGTAAGAAATGCAATCCACTTTAAGCAATATTAAGAGTTGTGTTCGTCCCTTTTTTGTTTAACATATGTTGATGTCACAGCACCAGAGGGGGACATCTTTAGACCAAGACCAAACGGCAGAACACGACGGGACAGTATTAAGGTGAGCAACATTTATTCATCAAATGTTACCTTCTTATGGGAGTTTCAGTCTAAATGCCTTGTCCCCCTCCCCTGGTTTTCTGTGTATTTGTTTATCAGTGCTATAAAATGGATGCCAGCCCGTGTGGTCAGTGCCTCATCATAAACAACGTGGAGTTTGAACCCAACAGTGAGCTGAAAAATCGCGGAGGGTCCAACGTTGACTGTGACAAGCTGGAGAGAAGATTCAAGGCACTTAACTTTATCGTGGAGGTCAAGACAAACCTGAAACAAAAAGTATGAGTCTTAGCATCGAATAGCGTGGCTGAAAGAAAGAATGTGTTGCTAACTTTTGTTTCCACATTTCAGCAAATCAAACATGAACTGTCAGTTTTGTCTAAGAAGGACCACTCGCAGTATGACTGCTGCGTCGTTATCATGCTCTCACATGGGACTGAGGTGAGACCTGGTCTGTCTTTCTGTCTGAGTAACTTTGTATATAACGGTTAAATGGTTTTCAATTAAAGCTACAAAGGCATTACTGGTCATCTAGCTTGCCATCATTTAACTTGATTTTTCTATACTTTAACTGAACCTTTAGTTAACCTGGAAGATAAGTTTTTGTCTTCTAATTATTATTCTAAAAATACTTCCATATTTTTCTGTCAGCTGTAGCATATATTCTCTTATGTATGTTTGCAGGTGAGTCACAATCGGTTTCCTGGTGCAGTGTATGGTGTGGACGGGCAGTATGTTCCTGTTCAGCTCATTACAAACTACCTCAATGGCCAGCATTGCCCATCTTTACAAAGCAAACCTAAACTGTTCTTCATCCAGGCATGTGGAGGAGGTATGGGACACTGAACACAGTTTATTATCCCCAAAGTAGGCAGTTCACTGCATGGGAAATTATTTTTGTCTTGTAAGGGGAAAGAGACATTGGCTTCGAGGTGTCCCCTGATGAGGATCAGCCATCGATCTACAGAACAGACGAACAGATGGACGCCATCCCGATGTCATCCAGCAGCGACTCCCTGAGCACTTCTGATGAAACTGATGCTAGAGCCACACTTCCCACCCCGAGTGACATCCTGGTTTCCTACTCTACATTCCCTGGTGTGTTTGTGCTTTACCTTTTAAAATACCTGGGTACTCAGTTAAAAATATACATTTAATTGATTTTCCTGCTCTCACTTTGACCTTGTGACAAATATAGGTTATGTTTCCTGGAGAGACACGACATCGGGCTCGTGGTACGTTGAGATTCTGGACCGCGTTCTCGAGGAAAATGCTTCAACTGACGACTTGGTCACAATGCTAATGATGGTGAGCTTTATGTATGATGAGAGTATGAGTTAAATAAATTAGCTTTTTTTTAATTTAGTGGTTTAGACTTTTGAGACTTTCCTGACTTCTGACTCTTGTCATTTATTTACTTTCAGGTGAACCATGAAGTTTCCCTAAACTCTGCAAAAGGGCTCTACAAGCAGATGCCCGGTTCCTTTAATTTCCTCCGTAAACTCCTGTACTTTCAGTCCCCAGCATAGTAGAGAAATTCATTTACCAGAGAATGCTTCAGTAGTTTATGACGTGATAGCCAATAACTTAGACAAGTGTCTTAATTTGTTCTGTTCTATCTTTTTTTAACCAAAATGATCAAGTCCAACTGTGTAAGTCTTTTACACGTGTGTCCTCTTGTATTTTTTAAAAGATGAAAAACATCTGAGATTTTTGGGGTATGGGTGTCATTTTTGAGGGGGGTTCTTTCCTATTACTGAACATAAGACAGATCCAAGTTCCACCGTGCGACAGAGGTTGCACAGTTACGATTAGGCCCCTGCAGGGTGTTTTTTTGCACCGAGTTGATTTAAAGACTTTCATGCTCTGTTTTCTGTGCTTTTCTGTGTCAAACAAGTCTCTGAGAAAAAAATGAAAGACTTCCTATTGACATGAATTGTGTGCCACTGAACAATTAAAATATACAAGTGGAAAAACTGCTGTGCGCACTTTATTTCTGCAAAACAAACTGCATTACGGGAGAGAAAGTCTCCATAATTTAAGTAAGGGAGTTGTCCACACCTGCGTTTTCACCAGGTTCATTTGAGAGAGCAATTAAGCCTCGATTAACTCTAGTGATAATCTCCAACAGGGGCTGTGTTATTTGGAAGGTAGTCACAAAAAACATTTTGCTACCTTCTAGTGGCCATCATTAGATATGATCACATCAGTAGAGCATAACTTTTAGTTTATACATATTCTAATATAGTGACTGAACAACAGTTAAAAGTGTGTGTGTGAGAGTATGATAGATTTCAAAATAATTTTCTAATTTATCACACACTTTTTTATGGACTCTGAAACAATATATTCTCTTGGTAAAATCCAAAACATAATGCTTGACACTTTTGAGGGACATTATTTAAGACTTGCAGGACATGTGTGATTAAGTTATGAATTATTTGATTAATCAATCTGTCCATCCACCAGCAGACGGCATCTGTGGGTCTCAAAACTGAGGCCTTACAGACACTATTCTGCCTCTGTGACTCTTACTTTCTCTTTGCCTCCAGCAGAGGTCTGACTAAAGGCAGAGGTGGTTCATCACTATAAAAATCAGGTATATCTTAAAACTATGATATTCAAATGAATGCAAATAGTAAATTAAATAATAGAGGGCAGTCAGTTTCAATCTGTTGAATGAAATTATAGCATTAACTGCTGTTTTGTCTGCTGGATTGAAGTAATGGACGATAAATCAGCTACCGACAAAGTGGTCAGCAGCATAATGATGAAGTTTAAAATCCAGGAATGTTGCAAATATTGTACAATGGCATCAAACACACCAGAATATCAGAATCATTCAGACCATTTTATTAGCCTTCAGGCAGGCTGGAAAACATGAGAATTAAGTATAAAATGTTTTGGGGTCAGACAGCCCGCTGTTTGTCACTGCACTGCGTGTGTGATTTCTCAACAACTTGTTATGAAGCATAAACACGAGGATAAGGACAAGGATATGATACAGCCCGGCGGTAACCCTGAGATTGTGGCGCCCCGGCCCCCCCCCCTCCAGAGGACCCAAAGGCTGGAATGAGGACCCATCGTCTTCTGGGTCACCATCCCCATCTCTTCTTCCACTGGACTTCACTGACCACATGAAAGAGCTGGTCACTGTTGCCACCAAGAAGGCCCCAGGCCCCAGTCCCATTCCTGCACCCACAGCTCTCCCACACCGTCGTCTTGCTCCACCTCCCTCACCAATAACTCCAAAGGTTATCTCGGCCCTCAATGACCAAAGGAGCACAGAAGTGGGTTCTCCAGTCCAACAGTACAAGAAGCCCTCCAGTACCTGGGTCATATGAAACGGTTGTTGGAGCCAGATAAAGTATCAGAATGCTGATATGTACCGGGTCCAGGCAACAGTACTACATGTACCCGTGGCCAGGATAAGCCGGGGCCCGATATGGAAGTAGCTTCCTTCATCCCTGTTTTGATACGCAACGGAAAAAGATTAGCCATAATCTGTCCTATCACAACCATGCCGATGACACTCAGATATGTGTCACTGACAGCAGGAGAATGAAGGCCTGCAGGTTTATTGTGTCGTTGTGTTGAACAGATCAGTTTGTGGATGCAGAACAACTTTTTCCAGTTAAACCCAGACAAAACTGAGATCATTGTCAGCGGCCCACAGAAACTAAGAGAAAGTGTCATTAGTCACCTTCAGGCACTCCCTCTGGAACCTAAAAATCAGGTCGAGAATCTTGGGGTAATACTGGACTCAGACCTTAACTTTAAGAGCCACATTAAATCAATAACATCAGCAGCCTTTTACCATCTCAAAAACATTGCCAGAATCAGAGGAATAGTGCCTAAACCAGACCTAGAAAGACTAATCCATGCGTTTGACTCTAGCAGATTGGACTACTGTAATGGCCTGCTCACTGGACTCTCTAAACGAGCTGTAAGACAGCTGCAGAACATCCAGAATGCTGCTGCTAGAGTTCTGACCAGAACCAGGAAATACGACCACATCAGTCCAGTACTAAGGTCTCTCCACTGGCTTCCTGTCACTCAGAGAATAGACTTTAAAACAGCTCTGCTTGTGTACAAGTCTCTTCATGGGCAAGTACCAAAATACCTTTCTGACATGTTAGAGCCACATGAACCAGCTTGGACTTTGAGAACCTCAGGTTCTGGTCTCCTGATGGTGCCCAGAGTCAGAACTAAACAAGGTGAAGCTTCATTTCAGTTCCATGCTCCTAAAATCTGGAACAGTCTTCCTGAAGATGTGAGACAGGCTTCAACTCTGACAGTGTTTAAATCCAGGCTGAAAATGCTTTTGTTTAACTGTGCATATGGAAATTGAATGTATTTTGTCTGCACCCTTCACTTTTTATCTGTCTAATTTTGATTATTTTTCTTTTCTTGTTTTTCTGCTTTTAAATTCTCTGTGAAGAACTTTGAATTGTCTTGTACACAAAATGTGCTATACAAATAAACTTGCCTTGCCTTAAAATAATAATTTCTTTTGGCCCTTCAACTTCACACCAGGCCAAACCATGTCACGTGAAATAATCCTACAGAGAGAACTTTTCTGTTTACCAGGTGCACTTTTCCTTTTTCTTTGGCAGCTTGTCTCCAGTCACCTGAGACTCCTAGAGTCCAGCTGAGAAAAATATTAACTGCAATGTCTTGCTTGTCATTTCCTTTAAACTAGCTTGAATTTATCTATTTAGTTAGTGTCCATCTCATGCCAACTCACTGGATTTCTGGTTATGTATTTTCCGTCTTTCAATGCATTAATTACCACCAAAAGGACTTATCAGCCCTCATCACAGCTTGTAAGGACGCTTACTAGAGTATAGAAGTTCCTTTCTTTGGCCAAGGTATCAGTATTCCTCTGAGGGGATGTTCTAGTCTTTATACACACAGGCATTTTATTACTCCCGTGTCTTGAAAAACAATAGCTTACATGGGATGACTTTCACTGTGTGCGTGATGAGGGCAATACACATAAAGGTGTGTCAGACTCTGCAAAATAGATGTTCTTTGTCTTTGATTCAAAGGACAGACTCAGTTTTGAAGACACGGCTGCGGGACTTTAAAGCTCACAAAACTAGTTCTAAAATGACTCTTTTCAAGCAGTGCTCTACTGTCCATTGACAGAAAAATATTCAAATTCCCCACTGACAACTCCCTCTTTTGTGTCGTGGATTTACTTGAGTAGATGAGCATAAGGTGCCAGTATTCATGACATCTGAGGTCTAATATAATAATAAAGCGATGAGCACTTTCCAACACTGTGAATGGAAACGTGCAAAAAGCAATGTAACGCAGTTCCCAATCCTCACCCTTTGTCCTGTTTACTAATGTTTTGCTTGGGCCATCTCAAGACCTCAAACTCCCACTGAGTGTTAAGTTTGTGCTCCTGGACTGGATGTCTGCTTTCCCTCCCATATGGGTTCAGGTTCAGGTTCAAGTTTCACAATATAAACACTGGCTGTCCTAGATCCAAATGAATAAATACCGAGAGTGTTGACTCCCACTTTCAGTCCCACTGCTGCGCCCCGAAAATCATGTCCTTATTCAGCAGCACGCTTTGTAAGTAAACTTATAACAAAAGCAATACTATGACAATATTTGCTTATCATGCATACATACATTTGGTAGATTTCTAGTTATATTTGCATTTAATGGGGGTTTTAAAAATGTATTTTTCAGTCCTTGCTGCAACATGCCTGCTTGTAAGAGCAGGTAAATATATGAGTGATGAGCATCAATGCCTACTGTCACTCATTTTCTTATGATTTACTGACACTTTAATCTCTTTTTTTTTCAGGCATCCCCACAGAGAAAGTCATCACCTGCGCGCCTGAAGCTGTCCACCGCCTGAGCTGCGGTACGACTTCTGGTTTGGCGTCATCCGGGTTTTTTTTTCTCCATTTTTTTGTGGGGAGGTAACAAAACCCAATGATTTCATTTTTGCCATCTATGCTCTGAAACAGATACAGATGGAGTGATCAGCGTTCAGTCTGCCCTGTACGGACGAATGGATGGTGAGACCTGCAGTCAGGGAAAGCCTCCGAATGAGATTTCGAACACAGACTGCTCCCTGGTTGGCACTACCAGTGCTATTAAGACAAGGTACAGTCTCTCACCTCACTTCAGCGAATGGTCACAGCAGATCCATAACCAACTTCATTTTTGCCTGTTGAGATGCCGCTCACTCTGTTTTTCTTTCCTCCAGATGTGACGGAAAAAAGGTGTGTGAGCTGAACAAAAATGTTCTTGGAGATGCTGATCCCTGCAGAGGCACTGCAAAGTATCTGCAGACCACATACACCTGCTTCCCAGCAAGTCAGTCACCTTATTGACTATTTTATGAATGAATTATATAAGAATATTAGTTGTAATCGTTTACCTTTGTGTGTAGTTTGATTGACATGATTCTACAAAGTTGTTATTTATCAATGTCATGTGATATAACCTACGGTAGTGTAAAGAAAAGTGGCTATTAGTTTGTATTTAATGTGATTTGTGTTATTTTTACAGTTCACCAAGTGATATGTGAGCATTCTTTGGCCTACCTGCATTGTGGTAAGCTTCCGTTTTATCTTCTTTGTACATCATCATAGGATGATCTCATTAGCAGAGCAGATGTGAGTTTGTTTCTGAAACTCTGCTTCTTTTCTTTGTCAGATGAGGGGCAGATTATCTCTGTCTACGGGGCTGACTACGGACGGCGGGACCAGACCACATGTGCTTTTGGTCGGCCGGCGTCTCAAATCCAAAACACAGTGTGCTCAAATCCCACACTGAAAGTAGGAGAGAGGTACAGAGTCTCACGCTTTTTCCTTTTTATAACTTGGCTGAAAAGTCGTGATATTTATCACGCTTTTATAGAAAAATGAGATATCCAAATGTGCTAATGTCCAGGAATGTTTCACCATCTGCTTTTGCACTTTTGCCTCCTCAGCTGCAATGGGAAAAACAGCTGTATTATCAACGCGAGCAACTCTGTTTTTGGAGACCCCTGTGTGGGAACCTACAAGTACCTGGAGGTGGCTTATGCGTGTCAGTGTAAGTATCCCAGACAATGTTTCATGTTGATAGAAATATCTGTGGGCTAAATTTGAAAAAAGCATAACATCTATTATGGAGGGGGAAAAAAATATTCTTTCTATGTTTTACATAAGCTTGTTTTTTTTGTTTTTTGTTTTTTTCTTTCAGATCCCGTGGCCAATGAAGATGGGTCCTTGTAAACATATCAAGATACATAACAAATGTATCAAATAAAACAAAGCATCAAACGTTTGTGTCAACATCTTTTTTTGGTTGACAACTTTGTGCTGATGTGCACAAAAATAAATTAATCCCTTCAATATTCCTGTAACTCTCAGCTAAGTGAAGAAATTTAGGGCTGTCCATGAAGTCAAGGGTTAAATACAGAACAATGAGTGCTTTAAGTGTTCCAGGAAGTCCATGAAAATATTGTTGCAAAAAATCAGACATTTACGTTATCTCATAGCAGGAATCCACTTGAGGAAACTGCTGTTCTGCCGGCTGATTCATCGTCATGGTTTACAGTAACACTGAAGTGAGCTTTGACTCGTGATCCAATTTCACAATCGCCAAATCTTTTCTGAAAAAAAAAGGTTGGTCATAACTTTATATTGCCTTTAAGCAAAGAGACACACACAGGTTTAAAGAGCTGTGAGGAGCTTGGTGTGTAAAAACCAGGTGAACTACCTAGAAATGCAGTTTCAGGAAGATAAATAAAGGATATTCAAATTTTCAAAGATAAATGAAATAAGAGAACAAGAGAATAGCAATGCTTACCTGGTGTTGAGATTCAGGCTCTAGGTTGAATTAATCGCTCTGTAAGACCTGTTGTAAATTATTTTCAGACCAGTTTGTGTGTCATTCAGCCTTTTCTCTGTATTTCCCAACTTTAAAAATGGCTTAATGTCAGCAACTTGACCATGCAGACCATTTCTGATGAGGCTCCACTGAACAGCAGATGCATCCAGATGCATCTTCCATCCCGTGTCAGGTCTCTGTAGGATGTTTTTTTCATGGGAAAGCATGTTCAGAAACGTTCCATCTTTTTCCCTGCAGATTTCTGAGAGGTGCCAAGGTTTTTGTTATTGTGCTTTGAAAATCGCCTTGAAATTGGCTCACACCTGCCAACAAATGTGTCTTTGCAACAGGCTGCTGAAAATTATGGGACAAAATAACCAATATCCAGAGGAAAACTTAAAAAGAACTTCACGAACCCTGGAAACTAGTGCGCTCTTATTTAAAAAGGAATTTAATGTCTGACTGTCAACAAAAAATTATCAGTTTTTGCACATTATTGCATCCGTTTCAAACGTACCTTAAACATAAGGACATGTTGCTTAAAACAGATACAAGGAACCTAAATGCGACCAAAAAAATAATAAAAGCTAATGAGCTAATGAGCAGTAATAGGAAGGTAGGATCATAAGTCTCAACATCTGCTTATGCAGCTTTTATCCAAAGCGACTTACAAAGTATGAAAATTCAGGGGGCATTTGGATTTGAACCAGATTCTAGACCCAATGAGGATGCATTCAGACACTCATGCAGAAAAACTCAGGAATATGGGGCACTGTTAGTCTTCATTGAAACTTTAAGCAGCATTTTTGACAGGGTCCCTGCGGGCATCCCAACAAAGATCTGTTTAGGAAAGCAAAGACGGTCACGAAGAAAAGAAAGTCTTCGGATCACAAAACAGTGTGAAACTGTTGTTAATCAGAACAAAAAACAGACATGACAGGGGGAAAAAGGACCAGTCTAGGTTAAATAGGTCAGTTTCAGGTGGCACACCCTCAAGACAAATTGGAACACTCCTTCAAGGAAATAAGCACTAGAAAAAACCGTTGGGGGTTTTGCTTGTCGTTTTGTGGAATTCTTGTTATCTCATTGATGTCAGTTGGCATTGTTGACTTGTCTTTTTCCTGATTGCTTTCACATGGCACAGATTAGACAACACAAGAATTGTTGCTGTGTGACCTTTTCTTCACATGTGTACGGGCGCCAGTTCCACATGAACAAGCCTTTGTGCAATTCTTGACCCAGCCATATAAATTTTACCTTCCTGCCTCTGTCACCATCATTCCAGTCTACCCTAAGGACTAAGGATCTTCTACAACCAACCACTAAGGACTTCTACGACCATGCTGCCTTTCAGACTCAGCACCGCACTGTGTGAGTACAACAATAACTGGTATTTGGAACCATTTCAAGAGCATATTTTGTTCTGTTTCAAGGGGAATTTAAAAGTGACAGTGCCTTTTTCTCCCCCCCAGTGATTGAAGCAGTTTGTTTGCTCGTGGCATCAGGTAAACACTGTGTAACAATACTTAGATTTATCCTTTCGATAAAGTTTTCAAAAAAATAAATTTAACCATATGTTTCTTTTTAGTTTCCTCAACAGAGAGAGCCATAAGCTGTGATGATGACTCAAATGTCCATCGTTTAGGATGTGGTAAGAACGAAACATTCAAACCTGTGTGTCTGAATTGGATCATTTCAGATTTATCTGATGTCTGGGCAGTAGGAATTCTTGGATGCATGGTTTTTTTCAAAACTTATACCTTCAACTTTCCCTCTGGTTTCCTTCTTTTTTGACCCGGGGCATGATAACAGATACGGGGGTCATCAGCGTGCAGTCAGCTCTGTATGGACGGGCAGACCGTGAGACCTGCAGCGAGGGCAGGCCTCAGCATCAACTGGAAAATACACGGTGCTCCCAAGCAGGCACCTTGAATTTAGTCAAGAACAGGTACATTACATATTTACATTGAAAGAATTCAATAAATACTTACCGTTATCATGAGTCTTATACATGAGCCAACATTTTAATGTTATGGAAGAACTCAAGATGGGGTACCTTCATAATTCAGGGGTTCTTTTCTCTGAATCAGCTTGTAGGTAATGTTTTGTTGAAAAGTGCAACCAATCTTTATTCATTGTGTTATGATTTATATATGACTATGTTTTTTTTAATAAATTCACATATATCCCTTGGGACCAAAGTCTGTCTCTTTGTGGTGAAACAAATACATAAAATCTTTACCATGCTCATTTCATAGTGTAGTTATTAGTTACTAATGAATAAAAAACAAGTGAGCATCGGTATGAATGCGGGCAATGTTTTACATGATAATGTAAAGGCCTACTGAATATTCTTCATAGTCAATCAGTTGTTTAACTTTTGTGTTACACACTTACATACAGCAAGTATGCATTATTGAAACAGATGTGATGGCAAGAAGGTGTGTGAGTTCAGGACACATGATGTTCGGACATCCGACCCCTGTTATGGCATCTTCAAGTACCTGGACACCAACTACACTTGCTTAGTAACAAGTCAGTCACGTGTCTTCATTAAACTAACAGCAACGCCAAGCTGCACATTAACTTGATTATTAAGTGTCTAAATATTATTTAATGTCTGTGTGATTTGTTCTTTGACAGTTCAGCACGTCGCATGTGAGCACTCCTATGCAAATTTGTACTGTGGTAAGTGTACAGGTTTTCATTTTCATGTGGAGGATGGATTGGTTGGACTGATCTGGCTCCAACTGGAGTTTAAATACGGCTACTGCCTGTTGCTTATTTTCAGTTTAGTGAAAATGCTAACTTTCCACCTCTTTGTCAGATGAAGGGCAGGTCATATTTGTCTATGGTGCTGACTATGGCCGCCGTGACCAGACCACGTGCTCTTACCAGCGACCACCCTCTCAGACTGAAAACGTGTACTGCTCACACCCGACTAAAATAGTTGCTGAACGGTGAGTGAGGCACAATTCCCAATTGGTAAAAGGGGAAAAAAAAAGAGAACAGTCAGTTAAAAACGGACAAACACATGATCAGAATATAAAGGGGGAAAATGGTGACCAATTCCAAATTGCTTCACAATAATTGACTCGGTTCATGTGCAGAAAGGTACGGTACTCTGAAGTCTGATTTCTCCTCCTGTTTATTCACAGCTGTAATGGAAAAAACAGGTGTACTTTCAGGGTGAGAAACTCTCTGTTTGGAGACCCCTGTGCTGGCACATTCAAGTACCTGGAGGTGGCTTATGTTTGTAACTGTAAGTAATTTAAAAGCCTCCGCAAAGTGTTTTTTTAACACATCTGCAACTAAAACAGCTGTTTGAATAGAACATTTCTGATTCTTTTGCAGATCCGGGACACTAGAAGCACACTGAGGGCAAATCATAAATATCGCCTTCAATTAAACAACTGGGACGATGAAATGTTGCCTGTAAAAGTCTTTTTTGAAAAAAGGTTTTCAAATAGCATGGAACCTTGTTCCTTGTAAAGAAAATACTGATTATACATAACTGGGAAATGTAGACTTGTCTTAGATTTTCTTCGATTACAATCTCAATGCTTTTTTATGCAGATGTTGAGAGTTTTATTTGTGGCTTCTCATTAAGGCATACATATTACTCAAAGCCTTGTACATATAAGTTGAAAGAAAAATAAAGCAAAACACAAAATAAATAATAAATGTATCTGTTTCATTAAAGTTCTTGGGTCTAGTTTTGTGTTTTAATGAAATTAAAATTCATTTTGGCCCATTATCTGAAGCTCATTATATGAAAAGAGAGAAACTGACTGACAAGTGCAAGAAATGTAATCAAAAGCTTTGTTTATTTAAGCCTTTTGGGACATATGTGCCTGATATAAAAGAAACCGCTAAGTTGGATATCAATAAACAGAGACAGCTTGAAAGTCTCGGTGGTCCTGAAAACAGATCATTGGCCTTTAGCTTGGGAATGAGACAAAAATATGAGCGCATCACTCAAGCTAAGGATTAAGCAACACTGCTGCGGGTGCTTTCACGACACAAAACGAGCTAATCGAAGTGTTTTATTTAAACGGCTTTGTGATGCTTGGATGTGAACATTCAAAGCACAGCTACCAAACGACAGTCAAGTTGCTGATGTCCTGGGCGAGGTCCGTCTTGGAGGGGTAGACGACCTTCAGGTTCCCATCCTGGTCCGTGGTTCGGATCTGTTGGATGACCAGTTCGGACCGGTTGGAGGTGTCACTGTTGGCAGCCGGCTGTGGCGCCCCATCATCCTCCCCCTCGGACCCCGCCTCCTCCGCATGCTCCGCCGTGAACTGATTCAACTCTGCCATTTTCTGTGAGGATACAGAAATCACTAATTAACCGTTTATCTCTGATGTGAGACAACGGCAGGATGCATGCTGTGGCTCAGTATAAATCAATTCATTTTAACTTGCTCCTCAATTCAGCCTGTTCATTTTCAAATATTTAATTAAATGCTTATAGGAATTGTTGAGTATAGATGACAAAAATACAAGATATCTTAAAACATTAGCACATAGTATACTCGGTACTTAAATATGTATTTTAGAAAGAATACAAACGATAAATAAATAAATATAATAATTTACATTATAGCGTGTAATATTAACCAATGGGCTGATGGAATTGTTATGCGGTTGGATAATGACAGACCACAAACTATAAATGAATTTGTGTTGTATAGACATAGAAAACACCAACACATGGACCCTTTTAGAAGTTGTTTTTTGTTCTATATTGAGCTGGACTTAATAGTAACTTAGCAAAGTTAACGACTTTTAAATCATTGGCCTTTATCTACTGGAAGCAAGGCATAATCCATTTATAGTCTGTAAGATTCCTCTAATTCTGCACACGACCCTGTGATAAAGCAGCTGAACTGCTTTGCAGCCAATATAAATCTTTCCATTGTGACTCAAAAACAACAGAGGCCTAAATTCATTGAGGGCTGATCTTAGCTCTTGTACTGCCACCTTCAGGATGTAATCTGTACACGCTGCCTCAGTACCAGCTTTATCTGTGTAGCCTAATTAAACTTAAGATAGAACAATAAGAGAATAAATACAGAGGTGATGGGAGAAACAAAAAGGAAAAACATACTACGATCAGAGCGTCCATAATATCTTTGCAGGTCTGCAGGCTGGCTGCGCTCGTCACCTCTAGGAACAATTCTTTTGTGGTTTTCTTGATCTGGGTAGGAAAGATGAGGTCAGTATTTGGAGAACATCACCAGGAGTCCTAAACCCTCTCGCTTACATAATGAGAGCGCATCTATACACATTTTTAAGAAAAATGCATGTCCACACCTTTGTTTTCTCGCTGTTGGTAATTGGTGGGAATGAGATCACATGTCCTTCGGCATCAACAAGGCAGGGATAAAGTGGTTTTCCTTGCAGAAGCTGGAGGTACCTGTGAAAAACAAACAAACAATGAACTTCCTGGTAGATAGAGACAAAATATGCTGGTTCACCAGGATAAAGTGGCAGCTTTGCCCTCCTGATGGTGTACGGCTTCGAACAGAGAAAAAAAAGTCACATAAAGAACGTGATGTTTCACATAAGGTAGGTACAGAGCAGCCACAGTTGGTACTGACTTGTGGAGGCCGGTGACATTCTGCCTCTTCTTCTGCTTCCTCAGCTCCTCAGCCTCTAAGTGAAGCTGTCGTATCAGCTCGACGGCTGTCATCTCCCTCTTACCCAGCGGCACAATCTGGCAGGTGTAAATTTCATGAGATTTGTTTTGGTTTTTTTCCAAATGGAGAAGAGAAACAGAAGAGTAGCAAACACAGGCATCTGAGCCGATCCGGGTCAGCGTACCTTCAGCTGGGTCGGTGGTTTCACGTCGTACACCAGAGGACCTTTGAGAAGCTGCGCGTCGTGGGTCGCAATGGTTGCGATGGTCCTTTTACCGCACAAGTCATCGTGGAGCTTTGTCTGGACAAAATACACGGAATCAGCCTCTAACGGTTGCTAAGGACACCGGATTAACATCACTGTTCTTGCTGTGCGTTTACCTGAGCCATCAGGAAGCGTTTCAGAGCGTTTCCGGACCTGAGGTTCATGCCTCGGACCAAACAGCACACCAGGAACGGCCGGACATCCTTCACCTCTGCGCTCACGCTGACCGTCAGCGCCGTGGGCGCGTCCGAAACATGGAGGACCCTCACAACCATCTTGTTCAGCTCCTCCAGCTCCTCATCCTCCTCGGCCAGCTTGTCTTTCTTTTTCCTCAGCTGCTGCCTTCTCTTCTTGTCCGCGTTGCGCCCTCCATCGCCATCAGCTCCATCCTCCCCGTGCCTCCCTCTTCCTTTTCCTCTGAGATAGTCAAGGATGGATTTGGTCTGACACCCGTTGACCATCTTCTCCAGACGCTTGTCGCTCAGCTTGTTGCCTTTGAAGTTGATCTCCTTCAGCTTGGGGCAGTCGGAAAGATCAGAAGGGATCTCACTCAACTTGTTGTTGGAGAGGTCCAGCATCTAAAGAAAGGCGTAGAGGAGTAAATATGAGGAGTGAGTTCCACATACTGAGAAAGAGCACATACAAAGCGTAACATAACAAAGGGTTTTAAGATCTTTGTTTTACTGCATTGCAAAAGCTAAGTCCCTTTTTTATATAAGCATAGATACCAAACAATACCAGATACTATGAAATTCACATCCTTGTGAGACCTTTTCAAGACTATTAAACCTTTGCACCACCAACTGTGGCAGACAGATCTAAAACAAACGAAAATATCTAAGAAAAAGTTGTAGTCACCTTCAAAGCTGAAAGCTTGTGAATATCTCCACTGAGCTCATGGATTAAATTATCAGATGCAACCAGGGTGCTGAGCAGATCCAGCCGTTCGGAGAACAGATCAGCAGGAAAACCTGGGATCCGGTTCTTGGAGACGTTGATGGTGGAGATCTTGGTGCACTGGCTCAGTCCATCCGGCAGAAACTCCAGACTGTTACAGCTTACATTGAGAGTAGTCAGCTCCTTTAACTGGGTGAGTCCCTCGGGTAAAGCTGTAAGATTGTTAACTGAAAGGTCCAGGACTTTAAGACACTTGAGGCTGCCGATGACATTTGGGACAGAAGCCAGTTTGTTTCTACAAAGGATGAGGCTTTGGAGGCTGGTCAGATGTTGGATGTCCTCGTGGATCTCTGTCAGACTCGGACACTGACTTACTTCTAGATAATTCAGCAGATGAAGGGAATATACGGAGGAGGAAAGGCCCCCACTGGAATGAATTCTTTTGTCTATAGCAGTGCCCTGTAAAACAAGCTCACGCCTCTTCTCTGTCCCTGCTTTCTCTATTTCTGGCCATTTCTCCATGTCATCCATGCTGCTGAATCGCTTACAAGCTTGTGTAGCTAACGAATAGAGGTTGCTCCGGTTTACATTTTCAAAATAAGGGAACATCCTCACAACGATCCGCCTCTTGGAACGAAACTTTTGTTTAACTTCCGTTGTGTTGCCAATAATTAATTTAAATATGTTGATGAAATCAATTCTTTGACCAAAGTGAGAGTTGTATCATTTTGTGTTCCCGTATTTTATGGTGGCACTTTTCATTTGAATATAACATTCTAATTAGTTCCGGTGGGTCTGCTGTCGATCAGGAAGACTCAATGAAAAGGCGAAAGCAAATGTAGACTTTCATATACGTGTTAAAACGTAAATAGTCAATAATGTGACCAAAATTGGCTCTGCTATTAAAAAGGGGAATATTTTTAAGCCATTAGGAAGAGAGACTGTACAAAACTACACAGACCACAATCCATTGAGGCTTACTGACGACGTTACGATTGCGCATGTGTACAGTGGTTGTTGTCAGCGGTGGTTATGGAGATGAGATGGGATCACAAGCTGTCAACCACACGTTAATTTTCCGGGTAAGATATGCATGGAGAGAGATGTTGGGAAACTTGTATTTGTTCCAAACTGTACACCTAAGAACGGTAGGACACACAGAGTTGGTGTTTGTACCTTATTTGTCCGGCAGTTTTCTGTAACAGTACAGGCACTGTTGGACTACGTCAGGTTAGCTACGTTGGATGATTAAATAGTTATTAACGGTTAGCTAATGCCACACTGCCCCATTGGAGCACGACCAAGACAGCAAGAGAAAGGTCCCCTGTCTTTTCCGGCAAGAATGTGTTTACAGTATCGAATATATATTATGTCTTTGAAGAACATAACTTCACATGTTGGAGGTTGATATTTACGTTCTACAATATACATTCCTCAAGTTAACCTTAAGCTTCTGCTTACACCCATTAACATATATTATTTATATTGATAACTTACTGGTATAATAACTCGTGTGCTGGAATGATTTTCTTTTTAATTGAGTTTATTTGGTTTTAGTATTTAAGTTAGTAATATGTGCATGTTCACAGACATGGTAGTCTTCAGTCAAGGGCAGTTTGGTCAGATTTAGGGTCAGCTCAGTTTTTAAAAATCTACGATGAGATAGCAAGCCCAGTTCAGTGAAAAACTGGGACTGTTGAGATTTAAAATCTATAGCAAAATTGTTTAAATTGAACACCAAAAAGGTGAATGTTGATTTTTGCAATCAATATTACCTATGATTTTTTTGTTTGTTTTTGTTCAAGCCATGACATGACATTACTGTACACAGTTTAGGTTATTTTGTGTATAGGCATTCAAAATATCTCTTGATTGTAATTGGTTTCGATGGATATATTGATGTGACATCAAATAAATATCCAGGACATTGTAACTAACTTACTGTGGAAACTTACTAAGGGTAAACCTCTTTGTTCTTCTAAGTGTCGATCAGAGGAATGCCCAAGAAGATAGGATTTATTGTTGTCAGCTCTTCAAGTCATGAAGACAACTTCAGTGCCCAGGAGCTCATGGTCCATGCACCCACAGTCTGTGGCTGGAGATCCAGCAGGTACATTAAGAGGATGCTTTCAAATTTGAATATCTTAACTCAGAATCTACTTTTAATTCCCACTTTTTCCCTCCTCCCACATGCTGTGAACTTGTAAACTTATTTTCTTAGAATTGCCTATTATTTGCCCTTTTCTCTTAAAACAACTGAACAAGTTTCTGTGAATGAAATGCTCTGCAGGCTGTGCTCGTATCCTCAGCACATCACCCTCCAGCTGGTGGAGAGATGTAGGATAAGGAAGATGCAACTTCTGGCTCACCAGTACCTGATCCCAGCCAAGGTGGAATTCCATATTGGAGACAGCCTCCCTGAAACCAGCCCTCCAGCTATGCAGCTTCGGAGGCTTGGGTGAGACTATAGACTTGCCATGGCTGATATTTGATACCTTTTAATATTGAATAACTTCTTACAAGATGCATCTTTAAATAAATGTAATACAGTTCAAGGCAGTGGCTGATATTTCAGATCCTAATTCTCACCCAATCAAATGTACCTTCTGGAGCTGCCTGTACCAATGTTGAAAAATGGAAGTTTTTCAATAGGAAAGAAAGAGCTTGTTTTGATATGTCAAGCACAAGTTGCAATGGAACAACCATGGAAAATCATTCAACCAACAACCTTTTTGGCCTTTCTATTTTGCTATTAAAATACCTGGAACCGGATTAACATGCCCAATTCAAATATTTTGTGCTTATTTTTCTGTAACCATCTGTTATTTTCTTTTTATTGGAATGTAAAGCAAGTTAGATAAAGGTGGTATGCCGCACTTGATTTTACTCATGATATTGTGAGATCTAGTGATTAGGTTTTTGTCAATATGTACGTATTAACACGCAGCAGCTTTTTACTTTCATTGTAGGATTGTTACAGAAAAAAATATTGATTTGTTGTTTTTTAAATACATAAAACTTGGAAGATTTTGAAAAAGAAAACCAAGTGGCCGAGGTGATTGTGTAGCTAAACTGAAACCTAAAGATGAATTTTCATGTGAACGTCTTAGTTATCTGAACCTGACACAGCAGATGAGCTGATTTTACTACGCCGCTCTGTTACCACAGGTATGTGTCTTTGTCGGACAACGATAAGACAGGTTTCAAAGCTCGGGAGCTGAAGTCAGTTCATGTAGATGCTGTTGGAATGTATCTGAGATTGACCCTCCACAAGAACCACGTCAACCGTTACAATCACTACAATCAGGTACTCTGGTAGATGATAGTAATGCTGCCAAAGTTAAACTGCATCAAGTCTTATTTCACTCTGCATTGGTTCTTATGTGTAACCATTCAGATGCTAAATACTGTGAATGTGACTGGAAACTGGTTTAAAATTTTTTAAAGCAATATCAGAGAAAGTATGTGCTCTGTTGGTGGTTAAGTGTTGTGTTTCATTAGTGTCATCATGTTACCCGGTTAAAATCTTTATTTTCATTTTTGAATAAGAACCTCAGTCAGATTACTGGTAATCAGGAGTACAGTTTTAAGTGGAACATAATAAGATTAAAACTTGTGTTTTTTTAAAAATGTTTTCAATTAAACCTTTGCTTTTTCTTTTCTCCTTTGTTTGGATTTACAGGTAGCGCTGATTGCTATTAATGTCCTTGGGGATTCTTTGGACGGCAGTGTTTTTAACACAATAGTAAGTGGGAACTCTCCTATTGTCACCCATGGCTGAATTTCCATCTTCAAAGCAGAAGGTGGTGGTGTTGAGCTAACATCTCCCCCTTATCAGTCACACTGAACTGGGTTGAGTGTTGTGTTTTTTAAACTTGCACTTTTTCCCACCCGTAGTTTTGTAATTCACAAGTTGTTCCCTTATTTTATATATTCTATTTGTACTTCATTAATGGAATATAAAATTCATTGTTATTCTAAATTATCTTTTTTATGATCTTTGGAACGATGCACATGCATTTTCTTGTTATAAGACTATACTAAAACTGATTAGCAAAATCAGCAGATTTGCACAATAAAATGCCAATCGAGTTCTTGATTCTATTCATGTATGTGTGTGTTTGTCGGGCATGTAGTAATGATACACAATGGGAGAGCACTATGTAATCAAACAGGAGGCCTTTAGTTAGTCTGTGTAATCAGATAGTCCTGCGGATGGACAGCTCCTGGATGAGTGAGAGCACCTTAACACACACACAGAAAGACATGGAAAGACATGGACACACGCTTGCACAGATTCCAGCGAACAGGCTGGTCATTGTTGCAACGCTAATCCGACTCAGAGCACCTCCACCACAGCAATGATCTTGCCTGGAGGGGTGACTAGATCTTGTTCTCCTGTATCTGCTCTGTCGGGGGAAGTTGAGCTTGAACCTGTAAAGGTGCACTGCAGAGGGAAAGATTAATTATTTGCTGCTTTAAAGACTCTTACTCAAATTATGAACAAGTCCATCCCTCTCACCCTACACTAGTCTCTCAGTTTCTCTTCTACTATTCAATATAGTGGTTCCTCATTTTGATGTTACTTCGATATCTGCCAGTACTCTTACTTTCATTATTTTTTGCCTTATTTTATCAAATGTTTAGCTTGTCATATGAAGAAAAGCAAGAAGACTGAATTAATTTAATGATCTTAGTCATCTGTAAAACCATGACAGTCAACACGGTGCCTGTTATCTCACATCCAGTTGAGCTCACCTTATCTCAGCTATCATTGGTTCTATTTTTACACTTCTGCTTTTGTAAAGCGTAATTTTCCTTGTTAACTCAACCTCAAAGTTAAAGTGTACTCTGTAACTGCTGGGGCTATAAGGCTTGTTCAATGGACTGCATAAAGAATTTAGAACACTTCCATCCATGAAGGCTTTTTCTTCGGTTTTTGCACAGGTACACTGTAGGCCCCTAGGGAATGGCAGCCAATAGTGTCTCAGTGTCTTAGTTTATCTTGTTGCTTTATTCTTATATTGTGCACACTAAACACTTACTTCTTTATAAGTAATTTACGAAGTTTTTTTATTTGACATGCTAATATTGGTTAAAGTTAAAGTTAAGCCATCATGTTTTATCTGGGTAAATTATTAATAAAGATGGGCAGGTAACATGCTCATCTACATGTTTCAAGACACTACCGGTGCTATTTTTTATGAAATCCCTTTTTTATGTTATGAACAAATTATTCATATTTATATAGTTATTTTACTTAAATGTTTAAACGAGTCTTTCTATCTCTTTGTGATTACATGTGATCAGAAACAACAGTCAGGTCTTATGCAGCATATACACATGTGTCATTTGTCCATCTGTTTACCCCCAGCCAAGCAGAGAACAGCTGATCGAACACTACCTCAACAGTACCCAGCAGGAAGCTGCCTTGGATACGACTTTCATGGGGTGAGACTAGGCCATTGAACCCTGGTTTCTTTGTCTTGTGACAATAACACTGTTCAACAAAGCCATTTAGTCTGGAAGTCGTTCAATAAGGCATTTAAGGTCACATACATTTGGAGACGATGCAGGTGGTGGCCTGTCCAACGGAAAAAACACATTTCGAAATATATTTTTTTGATATATCACCCCCAAGGGATGTTTCACCTCAAGGTCTCAACATTTGGTCAAGAATTGCACAATAACTAACCCATTTGACTGATAATGGCACGCTGTTTCAGACCTGTGAGGATAGACAAACTGGTTCACGTTTAAAAACTAGAGGAAGTTCCTTACTAACTAATAAGTAAATCACAGACTTTGTAAAGGATTATTTTCATGGTAAAAAGCTTCTTACATTTAGATATTTTATATGACAGCAACTGAGTATTGTTTGAAAGAGTGATGACTATGATATTTAACATAATTTTTGACACAATCGATACATTTAAGAAAAATAATAATCTAGCAAATAACGGACGTATGAATTTACATGCTGATTAATTAAACGTTTTTTTCCTACTTTTTGATCAGGAAATGTGTGTCCATATCTCCTTTGGATGACCTGGCCTTCGATATGTATCAGGACCCTGAAGTTGCTCACATCATTCGTCTGCTCGACCAGAAGAAACAGAATATGGTCCAACGGGAGAACTTTGAGCAGGCTAAGAATCTGAAACAGGCCATTGCAGACCTGCAAAAGGTATTTTTCACCTTTTATCATTGTAAAAGGCTCTATTAGCTATGTACCACATGAAAGCAACATTTTAAAGCTTTCAAAGACCTCACCCTTCAGCTAAAGTAGATCCATAAAGGTGATGAATTTGTTTGAAGAATATGTATTTACAGACTTGTAAATATATAAGCACAAAGCTGATTAGAAGCTTGAAAGGTTCAATCTCACAGCAAGGAATTTTTTTAATGAAAAAAAAAAAGCTGCAGAAATTGTTTAAAAAAAACAGACACATCTTGTTTAATTCTTTTCTTTCTCTAGCCATGGTGTCTGTTCTTTCTTTTTAATTACCTCTTCACAGGTACTTTTAACACTTTCTTTCAAGAACAAAATCAACTTATTTATGTCAATGCTTCATGTCATGCGAGCTTAAACAGGAACATATTATGTCAGTGAGAACATTTTGATAAGGAAGGACTTAAAAATATTTAAGCACAGATTTCATTATTCTGCTTGTGTCACTGCATAACATAGCATTCCCCCCTGCAAATGTTTCTTTAGGGCTCTTTAGGGATTTAGGAGATATCTTGGGGCAATTTCACTACTGTTTATGACAGTAGCAGTTAAACATTGTTCGGATTCCTGTCACTGACCTTCTTTGTGTACAACGTTACCATGTAGACCATGAATTCTTAACAAGCACAACAGCTGCAGTTGGGGTACTTGGGTAGTGTCTCAGCCACAGCCTTTTTTGTAACCAGATAACTCATACACACACAGAAAATTACCACCTTGGATGTATGACACATTAGCATAGTGGAGCTAGCAGCTGGCGAGGCAGTCATGGTGAAAATCCCTTGTCATTACACCCTTGTGATGTCAGACAATAGCATTACATGATAATGAATAAAACACAACAAAGTTAATCTAATAAGCACCGATTCTCTTTATTTATTTTTTTGCACATGGTCATAGATAAGAAAAAAGTCCTTTATAGTTTTTGAATATTTCATATATGTCAAAGGCAGAAAGGGTGCTCTCATTTTTTCCGATTTGTATGCTGCTAAAGGACTACGTTTAAATTCATAATGAGAGTTAACATGTATGTGGGACCAGTTGTTGGGTGTAAAAAAGAAAACTCACGAGATGCTGGGATAGACACTCCGTCAGCTGGCATCTGGTTAGAAACTTAATTCAGCTCAATGGAATTTCCTTACACAGAAATGACATTTCTCACTTTCTGGAAATTGCAGCTGAATTTCCATCTTGTAAATCTCTGTGATTCAGTATGTGGCACACATACAGCTGCAGCACAGGGCTGTGCCACCTTGACATGCCCTGCTCAGAAGCTGCATTGCCAAGTCGGCACTCCCGTTTGGCTGGTCTCAGTCCTCATGTGTGAACTGCTGCCTTACAAGTAGTAAATATTTTACCAGTGTCCCAGCCCCGCACATCTACACGATCTACTTAAGAAAGGTATCAGTGGATTCACATAGAATGTGGATGATAGTATTTTTAGTACAACTGTGGTCAGTGTTTTTGTAATATCTGTGCAATAACATTGAAATCTTTGTAAGATTGTAATGTTGTTGCAATCTTTTAAACTTGTACATTTAAGTCAAAAGCTATAAAAATGAAGACCACCGATGTAACAGTTTAGGTATATAACACTGTTTCTCCTACTTACTCTTTTAAACGAGACCAAATCAGAAGTGTTAAGACCAAAACTCTTCAGATCAGAGATACTGGAGATGTTCAGATTTAAAAGTGTCGCCTTTTATTTATTGTAATTGGTCTTATATGACAGCCAACAAATCCCCAAAAGCTAAAATCTGTAAACGCAGAACAAAACTCTAGTCACTGGATATGCCTATGAACATAAATGCAAGCAATTGCACTTATCGATGGCACTTATAAATAGATACCATCATTTTCTGTGTAAACACCCACAGAAGCCTGACCGTGAGCTTCTGAGAGCTATCTTTACCTGTCTTTGTGATGGGTTGTTCCAGGTAGGAGAGCGCTTGGCTCGCTATGATGTGGAAAAGCGATGTGCAATCGAAAAGGAGGACTATGACTTGGCCAAGAAGAAAAAGGAGCTGATGGAAGAGTACAGGAATAGTGTTTACAAGGAACTGCAAGTCCACAATCTGCTGGACATGACAATGGTCAGTCCAACTTCAGTGTGAAAAGACGAATATGCTTTTTGATCTTAACGTTTCATTGTCACACATTACGAGGAATTATTATTATCATTATGTAATTATATTATACTCATCTACGTCGATTCAATTTTGTACTGTCTTTCCTCCGTGTAAGCAGATCACCAGCTCAGCAGGTTTGTCTTTGTCCCAGCATCCTACTCCTCTTCTGCTTTCTCCAAGTCATCGTTCAGCTCCCACCATGCTACCTTTGTCCACAGAAACATTCAAAAAGGGTAAAAAAACAAGCAGGAATCAAAAGCAGCAGTCTGCCACACAAGCTGTTGTGGCCAAACATAGCAGCCTACCTGACACACCATTCATCCCTGCTTCCGTCACCAAGATGGATGTAAGCATCTCTGATCATCAAATGCATTCAGACATTGTTCAACAGCATGTATCAAGTCCAGTTCCAGTACTTAATTGACAACCACTGTTGAGATGGTCATTAATGGCCCACACTGAATATTTTCATTGATAACCCCCTTCTCAGTCTGCAGCGTCTTCCAGTCTCTTTTTCCTGTTTCTGTATTTTTGTAAAAATAATCGAGACCTGAAGCCCTTTTGGAGCGTATATCTAGACTAAAGCTTGATCCCAGAGCGCAGAGGGAGAGTTTGACCAGCAGTGGCTTTTATGCTGTACTCATCACCTGCTAAGACCGGCCCTTCTACAGTTTTGAGTTTCACTATTTAATTAAAAGCGTGCAACAGTTGGCTGACTCCAGCTTCTGCCAACCTGGCCTCGAGGCAGGGCTGTGAGCCTTGTGTTAAGCAGCAGGGTGCCAGTTGGCCTAGAGGGGCAGGAGACAGTGAAGCTGGCTGGATTTTTGGTTTGCATAAAGGTTAAACAATCATTGTAATCCTGATGATGAAAGATGTATCTATTCAGTGGTCAAATACTCATGAGCATTGGTGAAAAGAGCTATGGCAGAGGTGATGATTTCCTTTGGAAGACAAGACATCCCTCTCAGGTTCAAAGGCATACATCAGTTTTCTTTTAGTTTTTAAAACGAGTAACGACTCGACATACTGTACATATACCAAGCTCACAACCCCGTGTCTAAAAAAACTTGAGATGTTGCATAAAATGTACACAACAGCAGTGTGTAATGTTCCTAAGTTCTGGTCACAGGTTTCCAGTGTGCCTTATGATGAGAAGCCACTGCCAGCCCTCCAGAACAAGGATCATTCAGAGCAAAGCATCCACATCCCTGCAGTGGACCCCCCCCCTGAATCTGATGTGCACAGGACTCCACACAGCCCTGAGATGAGCGGCCAGCCAGAGCCCTTAACAGAGAAAGCCCAGAGAGAAGCTGGCCTTCTAACAGAGGTTTATGGAGAGAGCCTGGTAAGAAACCATCAGGCTGGGATATGAACTTCAAAGCATGGCTTTTCCCCTCCACTTATAGAAAAATATTGACCCTTCAGAAAGTTCTTCAGCACATTTTAGCAAGATTTTATCAACTTAACAAGTTTTAGGGTAAAAATGGATATGAAAAGAAAAGTCAGTTAAATGTTAGTTTACACCAATGCCCAGATCAGGCTCCAAGTTGGTGAATTTGTAAATAATCATTTGGATTTTTTTTGTTATGAATCGTCTGTTAATATTATGAAGGACTTGTTTACATAACTTATGAGTAAATCCTATCAATATCTGCTTTAATACCAAGGTTTAAAATTTAGGATACCTCTCCCCACCCCTCAACTACCATTAATAGTTTGCCCCTTATGCTTAAACAGGTGGCTGGAGCATATTCTAAGACCTGGTGCTACAGGGAGAGCTCTCTACTGGCTGTGCACAAAAAGCTTTTGGAGGTATCTTCCACCATCCCCAAGGAGGAGCTGAGAAACATGATCAGAGCTGCAGTCTTCCTGGTCAAGAAAACCCTTCTGGATAAAGTCACATCTGTGAGTAATATCCCCTGAAAAGGATTATCTTGATGTGAAAAGAGAACCGATTAGGCATTGTGATATGTTTCCTTTGTCTATGGCGATACGTTTTATAATTTATGTCTGCTGACTTCCAGTTTCAAACACAACTAACATAATTTATTCAAAAACCAGCATGCACACACAATGTTAACAATGTTTCCCTTGTACCACATACAAACCCAGGTCTCTTTCTGAGAGCCAGTTTCTTTAAATAAACAGTTTTTACAAGGATGGCCTTGTGAACCCTCCCCACGGCTTGCAAGGCAAAGAGAAGGGCGATGCAGGAATAATTCAGCTGATTTATTTTTAGGTCCAAAAAGATACCAAAAATGGTTTATCAACATCTTTACTGAATTTTTTTTAAATGTATTTATTTTTTACAAATGTTCCTCAGTTCAGTATTTTGGATACACCTGATAAAATCCTATATATTCTTAGTCTCTGCCTCTAATGCTAATAGTGTCCGGTGTCTGAACGTATCCCTATACAGTCTAAATCTAGCAGAATCTACCAAATTGTACAAATTTGGTAGATTCCTTGAAATGGATATAAATACACCATTCCATATTTCCTTCTCTGTTGCTGGCTGAAGTTAATAACTGACAAGCCAAGTTTCTCTGCTGATTTACAAAATTGCTGTGCCAGCTGTTTTTGAAAAGTCTCCTGAATGTTGAGTTTAACTTCGTCCTGTCATAGGTTTTCCACGCCTCGCTTAAGCTGCTCAGGCTAATACTGAGCCAGCTGGTTCCAGACCTAGGCCTGGGCCGGACTGAGGTAACTCACTGCTTGGAGCAGACGTTCCCTAACCTGCTGGCCAGGACGGGAGACTCTGCCAGCCGTCCGCGGGCTGCAGCTCTCACTTTCATACAGGTATGGTTTAGGGGAGGGCATGTTTGTTTCGCATTAATCCTGATATAGAACCCTGATCATTTCACCCACCCAATGCAGACTCTCATCCAACAGCTTTTTTTCAGTTCAGAAGAAAAGATAACCTTATTGCTTTTCAGTGTCCTGCTGTCCATTTTCAGAGCAGTCTTCACTGTCATAATGTAATTTTTTAAGGTTTTGACAATTTTTTTATTTACAAAAAAACCTTTCTTGGCTGCAATATAATTTATTGTCTGCCACTGTCAATTGTTGGATTTATAAACTAATGTTAAATGGTTTGAATGCTAACATGCATTGTAAAGATGCTTTACAAAATATCTATTTTATAGTCACTTGAAGTGACGGTGTGCTTATCTGTATGGCTATTTCAATGTCTATCATATCACAGAATTGCCTTTTAACATTAACATTTAACTAAACTATTTTTTCTTCCCACCAGTGTCTCAGTTACAGATACAACATAATAAGTATTTGCTTCCCAGCTAATTTCTTTGTTAATGGCATGTGTATTTTCAAAATGTCAAAATGAGCTCAGATTATTTTATCATGCTTCCAGAGGAATTCGTTTGAATTTTTCATCAGATGAAGGAAAAGGAAAAAGATTAAACATCACTGATAAAGATCATGGCAATCAAGGCATTCCTCAGAGTAGCACAAAGAGATTTCAAGTGTACAATATACAATCAGTGTCCTCTACCACAAGTTTCGAGATTAAATGTTCTTTCTTACAAATTAATTTATGCTTAATGTTACAAATGGATAGTAACATCAGGCGTTTACAACCAAATAAATGCCTCATGAAAAATCAGTGTGGATGTACTGAGGTTTTTTCTGCTCTGACATTGATAATCAGATATGCACGGTATATGGATCCTTGCGTCATATTTAGCATTAGTCTGTTTACTAACATGGGGTCAAAGTAAGTGCGAAAAGATTTGTAAATATCAACATCAATATATTTTTCAAGATAAGTAGTTGTATTTGACTAAAGATGCAAGGAAAAAATTAAAAACTGTCAGAAAATAATGACCTTTCTCAGTTTTTGCTGTACAAATGTTGAAAAACTGTTGTATAGCTCTAATTCCAGGTTAAGTTTGGATGAATGTAATTTCATCATAAAGCTCACGTCAAGGTTAGGACACAAAAATGTGTTTCGGTGCAGGTTTTCATTAGTGCCTTGAGGACTTAAATCTCAGTCCTATGATTTATGTACAGGTTTATGTGGTCAATAGACAAGTGAGAGCTTGAGTTGATTAGTTTGAATGAAACGATCTCACTGGTCCCATAGAGTTTACCACAGAGGCCCCTCCCCACCAAAAAATTATCTATGTTTGTAATTGAAAGTTAATATGTTCATTCCAGCGTCTGTGGTTAACTCTGCTGTGAGATGTTCTCAATCTAGACAGCACAGTTTGAGATTGATGATATTCTTCTCACACTGGATTTGATTGCTTTTTGGCTCAGCTTACAGTATAGTACAGTATACAAGCTTCATGCTGTTCTCGCCCAGTCTTCAGACTACCGCCGTCAACCACAGCTGGAGATGAACCAATGGTGTGGGTTCATTTGAAACATAATTGTGGTTTTTGTGCTCCGTACTGGTGATCTGTCATGTAGAGCTGAGTGAGACCAGAGAGTCTTTCTGGGCTGGTGAGATGACGTCCGTCTGTTTTCTGAAATCTTTTGCTGTTAACTCATGCATGGGTGTGTTTTCTGAATAATGAGGGAGTGTGTTCTCTTGCTCATAGTTAATAGACATAATTGCAAGGTTTGTTTAGAGTCTCTCTCTCTATCTCTTTCTCTCTCTCTCTCTCTCTCTCTCTCTCTCTCTCTCGACCTGCTTCTTTGCAGAGGCAGGTATTGAATGATAAATTACTATGTGTGGCAACACAGAGATATTTGTCAGGTTCTTACAGGCCTAAATGTGTACATCTTTAAAGACATCACAAGATTTAGAAAATTGACACAGTTGTCACCGTTCCTTCCTCGTACCCCCTGTTTAGGAAATTGCTGTTTTGAAGGATGTCCGGGCCCTACAGATAATTCCCGTTGAGCTGGTGAAGCCCTTCAAATCCAACTTCCCCACTCGTCTGGCTCAGAGTCGGGCTGAGTTGCTCGAGAAACTACTGGTAGAACTGGGAACAGAAAACTCCGGCTTTACCTTGGAAAATGTCATCAAGGTAAAGCATCAAATCCATCCTTGCGTTTTGTTGTTTCTCTGTAATGTTTACCTATTCACTTAATCTGTTTTTCATGGAGAAACCAAACAAAGTATTCAATTGTGAAGAGCTGGTCTTTGATTTCATCTGGTCCACCTCTTATTCACTCTTGCGTATTATAATGGATCCAGCCATTATTTTTGGTTTGCGAATTGTTGCTGCTGAGCCCTTTTAGAATAAGCTTTTTCAGATAAAACCTTGAAAATCTCAATACAATATGAATAATCTCTTTAATTTAGATTTCCATTCTCTTCCTATACCATAAAACTTTGGAATCACACTGTCTAAAATTGTCTTTTAATACTTTTCTGTCATCCATTAAATATTCAACTGGGCGTACTTATGACTTTATAAAACAAATATTACCTAAAGCATAGAGTGGATGACATTTTATAGCCTCTTTAGCAGACACATTCAAAATAAAGCCTGTATTATCCCACAGAGAAATCAGACATCTATCAGGCTGATTTTCTGTTACATTTGGTGTCTAATTCAGTGACTGACTGGAAGCCAGTCCCTCCCTGGCTTACTGTGGCCATTTAGTTTACCTAATGAGGCTGTCAGTAAACTCCAGTCAGTTGAGTCTATGTTGTCACCGCTGGCACCCACAGCCGCCCCCTTTGCTTTTTTGGTTCCCACTGTTGACCTAATATCCCCATGCTAAGCTTCCAACTTTCAACCTGACGGGGAAGGTCGACAAGCTGTTTTCCTCTTTAGAGGAAAACGACTCCCACTCTGCCTCATTCAGCCCTCTACTTGACTCTGCTTGACTTACTGTATCAGTGAGATCAAAATGTTGCATTCCTCAGTTTATCTGATTTTTTACCGCAACTCCAAAACAAATGTTGCTATCCAACATAAGAACCTATTTCTTAAGTCTTCACTTAAGAAATAACACACACACACATAGATACATATATACACACACACACGAATACAGATAGCCCTCTTTACAGGTTTACAGTGGTAGCTCAGCTATAGTTCAGAGATTTTTCCTTTTTACTCTGCAGTTACCAGGGTGACCTACTCCAAGGCTGGGGCCACAGTGAAAAAAGGGAGTGATTGAATTTCCTGTAATTAAAATGAGAAGTGACTGGCAGAGACAACAGAATAATGGCTGCTTGTCCCTAACCTGCTGAATGAGGGATGGATGTGCTTGTCCTTAGTACACTGTTTACCTCTGCATGTTAATGCTCCTCATGGGCTAACATTACTGTTAATGACGCATGATACATGACATGCGTTTTAAAGAAGACTACAGCTAAGGGGAACTAGCTTCATTAAGCTACACTTTTTTCGTCAAATAGGTTTCTCGTCAGTAACTGTCGAGCAGTAGGAGCTGGAGTAGTTCAGTTTCACAAGAGAAGAATGAGGACATTTTGCCCATTCTTTTTAACCAGTCTAAAAACACAGCTTTATGCCATAATACTATACTATTCTAGCGAATAGGTTACCAAACCTATTCTGTAGAATAGTATATTATGGTATAATAGTAAAAAAACTATAAAATATAGTATTATTAGAACAATTCTTAGGAAGCAAAGTCCTGCAAAGTAATGAACAAAATGAATAATCTTTTATCCGGTTTTTAAGTCTTAAACATCCGAAAATGCATGCATGAATACAACACAATACTAAATAATCTTCCGGAGATTTATCTGAGACAAACAACAATTATAATTAGATTTGTTTTTCTATTTATTTATTTATTTATTTATTCATGTCATGTTCAGACTGTAAAAGGAAGTCAGAATGTCAGTCGTTCACGTTCATGGAAAGTTGATGTTCTCTATCAGTTCTGCACAGTTGCATTGGAGCACAGTGCAAAAGTTGTTCGTGAGCCAGCGATGCGCATCATCTTCTCCATGTACCAACGGCACAGAGGTGTTGTTCTCAGCTACCTACCAGCCAGCGATGCTGTTGCACGGAAGAACTTCCTCTACAAAACGCTCTTTGATGGCTTTGCCAAGATTGATGGAAAGGTGGTGGAGACGCAGGCAAGTGCTTTTTCTCTTCACATCAGTTTGATAGCTTCCTCATATACAGAGGGAATATGAGTAATAACTGTGCTCTCTGTTTTATGGAAATAAGTAAATGTAATTAGAAAAAATAAAAAACGTACAAATATAAAATGGTGAAATTATTTGAATCAGGCTGCCAGTTCAAAGGAGAGCATTTGGGCAATGAAGCTGGTACATAGAATAAATAGTGAAATTTGATCAACCTAAAACAGGTTCCACAGGATTTTTGAAAAGATGATGTTTGTCAAAGCTATCCATAACAGGAAGATAGTATGCCTCATGTGCCTCAGAGCACATTGATTACTCTCAACACATGGGCTCATAGCATGCTGCTTTATGACTCAGACTTTGGGGAAGGGAGGTCGTCAGGAGGTTGGACAAAAGGAGAAGGAGATCCATTCCCTTCAGGAGCAGCTGGCTGTCCTGAAAGAGATCACAGTAGGTGGAGCTGTCAACAGTCTGCCGTTACATCACTTTTCTTCTCCACTGCTAATTCGTGTTTATGACTTCACACAAACTTGGAAAAACCTTTCATTTTGTCAGATGCAGAAAAATTCAAAGAGACAAAAAACAGAAAAACATTTAGACACATCCAACTGAATTTTAGCTGTCATCCAAAACTATTTTCTCAGTATGTGTATGCAAATGTTTAAATTCTTGTGATATCTGACATCTTTTCCTATTCTTTTTCACTACTTGCGTTGGAGAGAGATTATGAAAGCAACAAAGTACAACAGCCCAAAAAAGACCATGACAAACCTGATAGAGTGTCCCAAAGAGCTGGTAAGGAAGGTATGAACGTCATGCTCATATTGTAAAATTGAAAGAAAAAAACATAAGCCATCAGTTGTCATGTGGTTACACTTAACATAATGTGACCAGCCAAAGGGGCGTGGTGACAGGGGAAAGGTCGTTGGGTAGTTCAAAGACTCGTCTTTCATCCAAGTCCAAATGGTTCATTTGTGATTCAGTCGTGGCTCTGCTCAATTGTTCTGGTTTTAAAGGTTTAAATGACAGAGATAAAATGCTTAGCAAACAAAATGTGGGGGCCAGAATTGAGGGTTACCGTGTGGGTTACCATGACAATAACTGTATCTGCACAGTTGGGAGGTTAACCAAAACCAAAGCAGTTCAAGATCCCACTCTGTTTACTGCCCAAAACAAGGCCTTATGGCGGCAAAAAGAGCTATGATAGCTGCTGTTTGGCTTCCACTAATGTGAAAATAGAGTTCACTAGACCAGCAACAAAACAAAAAAAAGGAAGCGGTGATAGGCTCCTTTCACAAAACTTTTCTCTGAGCTCTTTCCTTTTGGTTTTAATTTGACAAAGATAAACTCATAGACTCTTCAACTTACAAAACTCTTAGAACCTTTTCGATCATTCAATAGTTAATGTTTTTTTAATTATTGAACAAGCACATTTTAATGAGATGAAGCACTTAACACATTAATGTGTTAAAGTCCTTTAAACATGCAAGTTCCCAAAAAAGTTTGACTTGAATACAATTATCAGCTCACACTATAACTTGTCACCCAAGATTAACAACCCCACAATAGCTACTTTATTATAGAATTTTGCAGCTATATTTAAAGTAAATAGATATATTTAATGTGGTTCTTGTTAGGGTTAGTTTTGTTAGACATATGTTTTCAGACGTAGGTACACTGAATATCATTTGCGTGTTACTTGAAACGGAGACTCATGAATAATTGCAGTTAAGTTAAGTAACAGATGCTGTCATATTCATTATCAGGTGTCAAAGGTGCCCAGGGTAAGACAACAGAGGGTGTAACTGTACAACAATCCATCAAATGTCTGGACAAGTAAGTAAAGCAAACGAAAATGAAGACCTTTAAAAGTGAATTGTGTGATTTTTTACAGTGAGAGAGACAGACCCCTATGTGGGAAAGGTTTCATTTTTTTGTGTGGTCTCAACAGTTCAGTCTTTTTTTTGTCAAATGAATTCCACATGGACATCATCTGATAATATAACAGCAACCTTTCTACAGCTTGTGCATTTTCTGCGGTAAGAGAGATGACTCATTCACAGAGGACGGATTGGACCTCCACTACTGGAAACAGTGTCCAATGCTGCGGCGCTGTGATGAATGCAGACAGGTACACCGGCATGTCCACAAGAATTTGCCTTTTTTTTTGTCTTTTATGATTTTTTTCAAGGCAACAACAACAAGCCTTTTAATCATCCAAACACAGAGTAACGTCTCTGTGTTGTGTTCACAGGTAGTTGAGATCGCCAGTATCACAGAGCACCTACTTGGTGAATGTGAAAAAAGTTCCAAGTTCAGTCAGTGCCAGCGCTGCACGGAGGCTGTGGCCACCGAGGACTTGACCTCCCATGTCCAGGGTCCGAACTGCAACCGTGAGTCACAGAAAGGCTTACATTTACTTTGTTTGAATAGAGCTGAAACCCACAAAAATGACTGTTTACTGCATCAAAATGTTAGGCTATTCTATAGGAATTTTCTACTTTTGAAAGCGGCAGTGATCAAGCCACAGGGTATGAACAATTGTGCTTTGCCCAAACTTTAACAAAGCCATTTAAAACCACAACATAAGGTTACTGCCCTGACTGATTGACCGCAGATCATCTGCAGTAAACAGTCTCAACTCCACTGACAGGATGCTGAGTGTTTCAAACAGGCAGATTTATCAGCTTCACTTTTTCTTTGTGTTAGCCATTTGGGCCTAAATACTAGAAACATTGATTTGCTTAGAGGTCTAATTACTGGAGTATAGTGAAAGGTCGTTTTGCCAACTCTTTCCACAATTTTGAGCACAATAGGCTATCTGAGATTTGAAAATCTACAGCATAATTCAAGACTAAAAATCCCTTTTAATAAAAGGTTTGTTGTGTTGTACATAATTTGTACCATGTACCATCAGAATACAGATGATTTGCTTCCAGGTCAAAGAAAGAGGCTGGTCCAAACTGTAGAAAATAAAACCTTTCATCCTGGCAGAACAAAGTTAAAAGAAGCTGTCTATCTTGAATAATTTCCTGTGCACAGAGGAAACCTTTGGGAATTGAGGGCATCAGTTTGTCTGCTTGTGACATTCTTAAAGCCTGTAAAAAAAAGCCTGTGTGCTGCTTTTCTGACTCTGCACAGAAGGAATTTATTGCATGAACTCAACATTAAAAAATCAAATGACTTACTCTGGTTCAGGAAATCTTGTTTAATGTTTAATGAGAGCTGAAATCAGGAGTTTTGTTAATAAAACCTTTGTGTTTTTTCTACAGTAATTATTTCAGTAATCATTGTGCAAAGTTAATGGTGTTTAGCACTCAGTTTAATCAACATTTTGACATGGAGCAGATTAATTACTAGTTTCACAATCAGAGGATGGATAATGAACGCCCTGCTTTATGTTTTATCAGCAGCCATTTGTCCCATTAATAATTGACGTGAGTGAATATGTCATATTACCATAAACCTGAACTTTGTTGGGCCTTTTTGAAAGGAGGGTGTGAGATAAGGGAAGTTTTCATCCGGAGTTGGGATTGGTTGTAATCTCAAAGATTACAGGCCTGCTAATTTAGAAGATATTCTCCTTCTGGGGTGTAATTTTGTTATCCTCTTTGAATTTTTGGATGTCTGTCTGTAATTGTATTTCAGTTGGCTTAACAATAAAGTGTTTTTCTTTCAGCCCCATTCTCAGGTAAAGCCTCCAACCACTGTCCTCTGTGTCACAGCAACTTCATGCCCGGAGAGGAGGTGAGGAACTATTAATGGTGTTCATTATCAATTGATCATAAAGCAATCACCTGTGCCACAAATTTCTGGAACATGTGTCACTTTAGGCGGAGACCTTTCTCCTCCTTCATATTTACGCAGAAACAAGAAATTGTCTAGTATTTAGCTTAAGGAGCATGCAGGTGTTGGGGCAAAACACAGCAATTGTCCTTTAAAGACATGAAAGGAGTCCCAACCTTTGTTCTCAGTGGGATGTGTCATTAGTCTCATCACATCACATTCTTCACATTCCTGTTACTTCCAAGTTGTTTAACGAAAAAAAAAGGTGTTGATATCCTGTTAATACCTGATGACCAGTGTATAGTGCCTGAATTTTCTTTGGCACAAAGTTGTGTTTTTAGACTAGTTAAACAGAATGGGCAAAATTTCCTCTTTCTTCTCTCGTGAAACTGAACTACTTCAGCTCTTCAGTTCCTGCCCAACAGTTAGTGACCATCCCATTTCGGGCAATAAGAGTAAAATAAGGTGGTAGAAATAAAACAGCCACTGCAAATATTTGTAAATCAATCAGATATGTCTTTCAGTATGTGTTGAATTCTACTTATTGATGAAATACCCACAAGAACAAGACAAAGAACAAGAGATTGATCTTTTTGAGCCCCTCTTCCTCTAAGAATCAGTCTGATCAACATGTGTCCCTGTCCTGCTAGTCTCTGTAGAAAGAATTTGACTGATAAATTTAGACTTGTAGACTGTACTTTAAGAACCTCCATCTTGAATTTTTGATGGATAAACTGATGAAGGATCGGTTTCTACCAATATTTTGAATGTGTAGCATCATCTCTCAGGATTTACTTTAAAGAGAAAAAGAAAATAGATAAAGCAAGTTGTAATTGTCTTCTTTCTTATTCTTATTTCTGTGACTGTATTTTAAAGGTCTAAATTCCCACAGTTTTTAAATGTCAGTTTTGTTTAAAGCTGTGCATTTAAACAAATTCAAATAAACCCCTCTGGGTTTCTCCACTCTGGGACTTCTAGTGTTAAGGTGTGTTTTCAGGGAGAATGGGGCTAATGACAGGTTTAATTCTTCACTGTTTGGCAGACTTCCAGAACATGTTTTCAGAAATTGCTGCTATATCATCCCAGCTTACTTTGGGAAAAAAAAAAAAAAAATCCAAAAAGTCTTCTGCATTTACTTACCATGTCACCTTTTTGTGTTTTTGGGTTGTGTGAAATACATACATTCAGCCTTCTGACTCAAAGTGAGCAGTTTCTCACCTCATTCACCTTTAAAAAAAAAAAGGTTTAAAAAAATTCAAAGTTGCAATTTTCTGAGTCGAGTGTTAACCCCCTGAAAGACTGCAGTGTTTGTGGGAGGGAGGGTTTTGACTGGGCCCATGGTTTTCCCCGTAAAGAGAGTTCCTGATGGAGGGATGAACTCACTAAGCCACTTTGTCCCCGCTCCAGGCCTGGAAGGCTCACCTCATGGGCAGGGAGGGCTGTAAACAAAACTCACGCAGGACTGCGGTATCCCAGAGAACCCAGCCGGCACAAGGTAAAGCATTCATACTCCTCCTAATAGCACCCGCCTCCTCAACGTGCAGAAAGGGCCTGTGCTCACTGGTAAAAATTCATGTTGTTGCTTCTCCACAACAACTTTGCTGCTCAGCACATGAAACCGATAAAATAGTGACTGAGCTGATTTAAAGCAATGTGTAGTTGTCTTTTTTTTTTTATTGTGCTAGAAGCCCAGTGGTTTGTTAGAGGATATCTTGTTGTGGATCTATTTTCACTATTTTGACCCCCATCACCTTTTTGAGAAGTGCTTTCTATTTATACATTTCCAAAAAAAGTCCAGGAATAATCTTTTTTTGGTAATTTTTGTAAGAAATTGTCTATTTATTGCTAAAGTCTATTGGCACTCAGTGTGTCTTAAACATGTACAAGTTACAGGCAGCTGTGGTGCTGAATCACATCTGGCATTGGTATGGATAAAAATAAGAACTTTTACATATCAAAAGGCCTCTCAGAGTGACAGAACCACTGAGTGAATGATTCCCATGCCTTTTCCTAGTGTGCTCCTATTGAACATGTACTCATGTAATGGCAGCAGAGGCCTCACAGGGCATAATTAAAAGGCACGGACTCCTAGCATGTAGTCACATCATCACTAGCTGCTTACACCACAGAACCCTCCTGTTTACAGTCCCATCACAGGTAATGCTGGCTGCGTTGTGTGGAAAACTACATGAAATGGAAGGTTGCACATTTTCCCTTTGCTGTCAGGGTAACCGTTTTATTTATGTGTGACCAGGCAGGGCTGTCGGGGGGACCAAGCTGAAGCAATCGTGGTCAGCGGAGCCCAGAACCAGGCCCATGGGCAGAGGCAGAGGCAGCAGGATCCCTTCCCTGGCACCCTTGGCTCGAAGATTTACGCCAGGGAAGCGCTGACGCCTGTTCATGACAGCCCTGATCCTCATGAGGAAATCGGCAGTATCAATCAACCGCTCTCATACATACATCCTGTTTTTATTCCTGCATGTCAGCACTTTTTCTTATAAAACACACGACAAGTCTCAGACTTACTTACCCACATTGTGCTTTTTGCAATCTATTTTAAAGCCATAACCATCTTTCCATTGAAGCCTTGTCAAAACATTATGATGTGTACAGCGCGTTCATCCCTCACTAAGCACAGTACAGTCACCTGTCGATGGTTCAGTCCCATCAGGCAAAGCCCCGCTCTCTCGGTTTGGTCCTTATATCAGGGCTCTAGCATCACAGTCCTGTGGGGCCGGTAAACATGAGCTCTCAGTAGGCTGCCTATCTCCTTACAAAGCTTCTGGAGTTATCTCCTCTTATTTCCCACAACGCTCACTGACATTCGTAGCCTCTGTGCAGACAAGCTCGGCCGCCTAAATCTTTAGATTGTGTACCCCTTTTACGTTTAGGATCTTAACAAGAGACAGAAGAGACGTTCATTTTTCTCGGAAAAAGTACCAAAATTCAAATGTTTAGGGATCTGCATTCCGTTGACGATGTAACCAGTGACAGCTTCTCGGAACAACCAGCCCACACGGTTTAGTGTGAAATGTGGTATTTTTTACATATTAGTGCCACATCTAATATGATTTTTTTAGATGAATCCTCTGCTGTTACTGTCTAAACAGAGTGAACTGAAACAACAGAGTGTCAAACATTGCCAGTGTGGTATGATCAAAGAGGTAATAACCTAAACTTTGAACCAGAAAATGATTCAGTGGAAACACACCTTTCCTTTTAAATGACACATTGGTGGGAAATTAGGCCATTTTTGTTTTACGAGCAAAGATCTTTGCATTATGCAAAGGTCATGGCAATAATTAAACCTTAAGGCGCTGAACAACCTCAGTGTGGCTTTGCCGTCTGCTTCCCTTCTGCTGAAACGTGTCCTTCCATGGCTTTCCCTAAAACCTACAGTGGGTATAGACAACCCCTGCCAAACGTTTGATGATCGTAGAACTGTAGCTGTGGACTACAGTATTTTTGTGCCTGACTAATACCGGCTGACAATCTTCGATAAAACTTCCAGAGAAAAAGGGAAGCTCGAAAACATTCAAGTGTGAAGAGTGAAAGAAACAGAGAGGGATGTGTGGCGCACACCAGGAGTTGTCTCGATATAAAGAGGTGAAACAAACCCCATCGGCTTAAAGGACTTCAGTAGCTGAAAGATAACATTAAAGATCAATAACCACCTGGCCATCATTTCCCAGATTTCTTGTTATCATTTCCCTCCTACTTTTGTACAGTGTTGTAACGATGTTGATTGTAAAATACTGATAAGAATTATCCATGTGTTAGTCTGAGGAGACATGGCATTCCATTTGATTGGTTAACGCTCCCTACAGTTTTTCCCAGGAAGATGTAATAAAATTTGATTTGTCCTACAATGGGGGGAAAGTCATTTTTAACTTTGCCCCTAATAGAAGCTGTTTCTATATTGCCTTCAAAGGTAACCAGTAAAGGAACAGCTCCATATATGGTGACTGATAAGAAATGATTTATTATATCCCTCTAAGTTGGCTTTCAAGTATTCCTCTTTGCTGAGATGATTGTAACTGTATTTTTTTTAAGCTCAATGTACACTATAGTCAGTATTTTTGGATTTTCTCCATGTGGCTCTTTTTCCTCTGCAGATGTATTTGTATTTGTAAAATAAAACCACATAAAAATGATGGTTCAAGATGCAAATTGTCATGAACAAATGTCTCTTTCACTCCTCCAGTCAAAGCCATCACGCCACCTGAAGTTTCAGCTGATCTTGACGGTTATAGTCGACAATTGAGCCCGACACCTGGAGAAATATGTTGAATCTTTCCCAGAACAATGTTAAAATGTCGCTGGAGATCAAGCATAACAGCAGTCACTGTGAATTTACAAAGATGAGGAAGACATTCCATTTTTATTTACACCATAATGCACAAATCTGCAGTTTTACAGCTTTAGTTTCTTTGGTTTTAAGCCTGCCTATGTAAATCATACACAGTCCGTTAAGTAAAAAATAAAATAACTAATATATTAAGTTAAAAAAAAACAATTATCAATTGATTTAAAAACATTTTTATACAATTTCATAGTACTTTAACGAAATTAAATTAATGCAAACGCTGTTTGTTGTGTGCCGTCAGTCAGTGAGGCCCCATTGGCAGACACAATGAAATCCTGAAATCAGAGAAGTATGTCATGCTTAAGGAGAACACCTGGTAGCTAAAAAGTCAAGTCTTGTGCAAACTTGCACAATCGCACGCTAACAAACAATGAGGTCTCTAATGGAACTGTTGGATTAAAGAACAACGCATCAGGACACTGGAATGGCACCAACATTACGAAATTCAGAGAGCTTCTTGGTAAAGTGAAACTGTAGTGGTTTTACAAAATGGAAACTCAGACGCAGGAAGCAGAATAGATTCCGTCTTAGTTTACCCACAAACAGCAATAGTTGTATCTGGCATACGTTCACAGTTTATGTTGTGAGTTGAATTACTCATGATTAGATCTGTCTTTGAAAATGAATCTCTTTGAATAAAGTAAGACAATTAAATAAAACACCGTCGCACAAGATTTGGAGAAAAAAAAGCGCTGATAAAAAAAAAAAATCAAATAAAATCAGTTTTTGAGTCCAAATATTGGGTCAGACGGAGGTCCTTTGCGCGCAGAGCAGGTCCTGGCTGTGCGCAACGCTCCACATCCGGAGCAGCTCCTGCGCGCTCAGTTTGTGCACCACGATGAGCTCCCTGTAGAAGCAGGGCTCCCTGTTCATGGGGCTCACCCTGTGTCTGGTGATGCCGAATGTCCTGAAGCCCGGGTGCATCTCCGGGGCCACGCCGAGCTTCTGCAGGCACATGCCCAAAAAAACGTCATCGATGGGGTACAGCTCCAGGTCCTCGGACACCACGAAGAGCCTCCTGGCCAACTGGGCGGACATCAGGAACCCCCCACCCCCGACGTACGGAGGGTACGGCTTGTCGTAAAGCTCCTTGGGGATGAAGTATTTGCTCTGTCTGTTTCGGATGGGGATCGCCTTGGAGATGGTGTCCCCCACGAACAAGCTGGCCTCTTTGCGGTCCTCCACTTTAAACCCGATGAGCTCCAGCAGGTTGTGCGTGTTCACGAACACATCGTCGTCCCCTTTGAATATGAACTGCACGCCCGGGCAGTAGATGTCGAACCATTTGAGAAAGTTGACCTCTTTGAGGGTCAGGTTGAAGAAGGTGTCCATAAAGTCCCACTGCAGGATGTCGTTATAGATCAGGTCCTCGTACTCGATCAGTTTCTGGAGGTTTTTGGAGTCTTTCCCGGTAGTCGGGGTCCCCAGGAGAAATAAAGTTTTGATTTTCTTCCCATGGACGGTGAGCTCCTTGCCCCAGGTCTTACGCACGGCCTCCCGGCGGTCGTGCTGCTCGATGACGGACTTGATGACCATCAGGAGGTGGACCTCGCCGTCCCCGCACTTCTCCGGGTGGTTGATGAGCATGGGGAAGTACCTGCAGTGTCTGTGCAGGACGAACTGGTGGAACCTGGGGTCCAGCCGCCGGAACCAGTCCTGCTTTTTCACCGACGCGTCCTCGCTGCAGTTGTTGAGCACCTGCGCGTCCCAGGACGCGCGGCTGCTGTTGGGCGCGCGCACGGACTCCGGTTCAGGGGTCCGGACCTGCGAGACCTCTCTCCACCGGAGCTTCACACCTCCTTTCTTGAATGACAGACACTCGGAGCCACACCAGCTCGCGTCCCTCGCGTGCTTGACCCCCGCCGCGTCTTTCTCGGACACTTTCAGCCGGTGGATCATCAGAAACGATGCGAACACCAAAGAAAGACTGATCAGGGACTTGAGCAAACCGCTACGCTTTCTCCGGAAAAAATGATCCATGGCTGTCACTGTGGCGTCCCGGGACCCGCAGATTCTGATCGTTTTGCCTTCATAGTGTGTCACAAAGTAGAGTCCCAGTGGAGTCCACCACCTCCGTGCCCCCTCATGTTGGCCGAGCGCGTGCCGTTCAGGCTGAGAGCGTTGCTCCAGGAGCCCGTTTAGCCCATCGCCACGGAGTTATGTCACACATCCCCTCTAAAGGGCTGGGGAACGAAACATGGTTCCCAGTCGGTCTCCGGACCTCCTCACTGCCTCTTGGCTCCAAACAGACTGGAGACCTGGCGCTGTGTGACACCGCCCCAATATCTCCACCCCCTCCTGATGATCCCGTCTGAGAGCAGCAGGTTTCCCGTTTCTCACACTCATCAGGTGTCCGCCACAATTAGTTCGATATGTTTCAATTGACCAATATCTCATCTCGTTTGATCATCTCTCACCTAAATGACAGTAAAGACGTGGATGATGACAAACATCCAGAGCACAAACATGCCAGATATTAATCACAGCCCTGTAGAAAGCTGAAACAGTGGTGAGTTGAGGATGATTGTTTATGAATGATGGGAATCCTGTCCTTAAAATCGTGGTGAGCTTGGCAGTTGACCTCTTCATTTTCTGCATCTGCATTTAATCCTGACTGACTGAGGATTTTCTGGATGCTCTGATCTCCCATTCATAGGATCATTGTCCCTACAGGATGATTTGAGGACCAGATCAAATGTCTTCTGATGTCTCTAGGCCTTTCAACTTATAGGAATATCATCAGAACAAGGGAGAATTATTTAGTTAGGCCCCTTTGGAAGTCCTGCAGGTACACTGGCCCTGAAGTGGAAAACGCCTCAGCTGTGAAATGTTTAATGATGATCTTTAAATGATATGATCTTTTATGATAAGGAAAATATCTGGTGTGAAATATTTTAAGTAATCGATGTTTGGTTGGATTGTTCTCTTGTCAATGTTTTATTTCTAATGCTAAGTCATTTTTGGTGGGTTTTGTAAAGTGACATTCTTTCACAAGTGAAGTTGATTATAATTTTGTCAATTGATAGATTAACAAAATATCTAGTTAATCAAGACCAAACAGTTTAATTAATACATATAATAAAAGAGAAACCTTCTAATTTAACTTATGAAAGAATGTAACTTTTTTGTAAATAGTATAATTGAACAAAATGAACAAATTTACAAACAGCCAGAGAACCGTAATCACATTTGAAACATGAAACTGCAAACTGAACTGAAAAATATAAAAAAAGTAATACGCTATTAATAATTATTTCCTTTTTACAAAAAGTATATATATATATAAAAAATGTTTAGTTTAAAATATAAAAATAGATAATATGTGCAATAAAAAACAAAATACAAAATACAGGGACATAGGACACAGTTAACTTAAATCTGTGAAGACCAAATACAAGGTGACTCATTCTCAATTAATTTCAAAGATTTAGAAAGTAATATTACATCATTCTTCCAATGAGAAAAAATATTTTTTGTTTGAAAAAATACACATTTCTAAAACCTTTTAGTTTTTTTTTAAACATATCTCTTATTTCCATTAAGTAACCCCCCCTTTTTCTTCATTAAGCAAACCTGCAACTGAGTGACTGACGTCAACCACTCCTGATTAAATGTCACCTGGCGCCATCTTGTGGACATCTCCTGCAATTACAGGCTGTTTGCCTCCTCCCCTTCCTGCCTGCGACCTTACATGACACCAAAGTCGAACTTCCGATGTAAACCTTATCTTTATCCATTTACATTCTTTCATTACAATCAATTTAGTATTACAATTGAAAGAAAAAACACACCCCTTTATTCTTCAGCTGGTTTAAAGTGAGCTTAAGAAGGTAGGCCCTAAACATTTTAAAAGTTAATATGTTAAACCATTAAGTGTTGTGAGAAAAAAAGGAATGCAATTACAAAAAACGTATATCACGAGGGAAACCAGCCACAATTGGATAGAGTTGACTGATGGAAATGGAATACATCTTCACAGGTAGTTTATCAATCAAATTAAAACCAGGCAGTGGGCTTTCGTTGGTGACGTTAGCGTGGGGTTAACTGACGGTTGGTGACGGGACGGGGACGCTGTGACCTCCGACTGAACCTCGCAGCAGGAAACACACGGAGGGGGCGGCCGGCCGGACTCAGACAAGCAGGGCAGAAACACCACCGCCGCCGCCGCCACACATCGTAAATAATCCCACACGTCCACAGCTAGCCAAAGCTAGTCGGGCTGGCAACACCGGAGAAAAAAAAACTAACAGGCGAGTCGAATCGCTGTAAAACGCCGGGAGACTATGCGTAAGGTACGTGAGCGATCGAGTTACTATGCGGCACGTTGTTACGTAATTTGATTGGTGGCTCGTGCCTGTCAAGTTTGACTTATTAGCCCCGTAGCTTAGATATAGTCATGGGGTCATTCGGCACCGATTAGCTGTTACCAATGGCACCGTATCTTTTTGTACATTCGCCATGTTGTAATTTTTTGACCACTGAAAATGTTGGAAATAAGCGCGGCTCAATATAGTTGATAGACGAAGCCCATTTATCATTTTATCTTGTAGCGAAAAGCTAAATTAGCCACATTAGTCAAGTGTATCCTTGGTGGAATTATTGCTCAGACTTGTCTGGAAGACTTCTTTCTGCTTTGTAATGCGACACTAAATTGGAAACATCTCGGGAGGAGTTGGCCAGCAGATGATGGGGCGTTGTGGTTTTAGAGATAAGTTTTTTTCTTTCTTTTCCCTTTTTGGAATAAAAACGTGCACTTTAAACAGGAAACCCTGAGGTGCCGCTGTCCCCCTCCTTTCCTTTCCCATACATTTGACTTGATCCTGAAATAGGAGGTGACGTTTTTCCCTAATATTTAAATTTGAGTTTTTATACTTTATTTCATTGTTAGGAAATGCTTAGGTGGTCAAAATGAAATAGGACAATTTGCATTTGCAAGTATTCAACTGCTCCTTGATCTGAAGCTATTAAAGTCATTTATGGTCTTAATTGAGAACAGCTTGTTGCACAAAGAAGAAAAACAGACCACAGAATATGTGATGTGTTTATGGATTAAATCCAGTTAAATTAGCCTTTTTGTGGAGTATACCATGTAAACACCCCATTGGTGACTTATTCTTGACAGATAGCTGTATTTGCACAAAAGCAGTGATGGGGCAGTCTAAGTTACCTTGACAAATTGTTAGTAAAAAGTATATTTAGATGGTTTATGCTTTAAATGAGAGTATTCTTTGCTAGGAAGAAAAATAACTAACATGAAGTGGAATGAGGTGAGAGGCCTACAGTAAATATTGCTCCTTTTTGTTTGAAACAAAGGGATCAAATAGACTCTTGAAGTTCTCAGAGTAGGGTTTCACTTTCCATTTTGTTTGTTTTGGGCTGAGATTCTGTTGAGCTCCTTGAAGATTGAATGTCTTTACAAAAATAATCATATTGGGGGGGAAAAAGTGAACAATTAGGCTTTTCTAAAACTCTCGGCATTATATCCCAACCACTTTTTCTTTGTTTAGTGTCTTCACTGAGATATACGAGACGTCTCAAATATGTAAACACATTCTCACTGAAGTATTTGTCTGAGAGGAAGTCCCACGCTCCTCGTGTGCTTCTGCTCGCTGTCAGATAGAGCACTTCTCTTATCACAAATCTCAATGTTACAAGTCATACTTTGAAAACCACTATCCGTGTTTCCAAGCTGGCTGTTTTTGCACCTTAAAACTGAATTAAATAATTGATTTTTAACCCCTAACCTTATAAAATAAAAGTAATTGCATGTCAGAGCTGCTGGTATTATGACAGCTGCCTCTCAGCTGACCGAAAGCCGCTTTTTCCACTGACTGGTCGCTGTAATGAACTTTAGCATCAGGGGTCTAAACAAAGCATGCAATGTTGCTGTTTCAGATGTCGGAGCAGCTTGAAAACTTGAAGCCCAGAAAGAGGAAAAGCAGCGCTCAGGTTAGAAGCTCCAGAAAGGTTTGTATTGGCCGTGTAAATGAGGCAGCAGCATATAGGGAGGAGCAGCCAGCAGCTACCATCTGCTGTTTTTAAAGCAGTGTTTACCTCTTGATTACTGGGTAAAAGACAGACACGTGACATTTGTTGGATTTGGAAAAATCAGATCTCATGGGTGGTTAAATAAGAGCTTTTTAACTTCACGTGACAGGTTCCTGCTACAGGGAGATGTCTGAAAAGGACTCACCCGGAGGGGAATTCAGAGGTGGGGTCTAGCGAGGCAGCTGACCCACTGGACAGTCTCTCTCGGATCAGCTGTGAATGCCACCAGTCTGCCGGCAGGAGGAGATGCTCCGCATCCCCGGAGCTGGAGGAAGAGGAGGGTAAAGAGAACAAGCTGGGGATGGAGCAGGGGTTGGACGGCTGTAGAGCCAGCTGGGACAAGCAGGAACATGACAATATGGACTATGAGGAGAGGAGTAGAATCCTGTTCCCCGATGATGACAGCAATCAGATCCTTCCTGTGGAGCAGTTCTTTGGAAACCTGGACATCGTACAGGTAAGGTTTTGTTTTTTCCTCGGTGACTGGATCTGGGTGATGGTGCTTTCACCAGTTTGTCAGTGTTAACACCTAATGGAAAGCCACGACTTTTAAGTCACAAATTCAGCCAGTACATAAAAGACAGCTGATATAGTTGCTGATTTTCTTACTGCATTCGATTTGGCTCAGTTCACAGCTGTTTAAAAGAGCCAACTGTTTCTGTGTATCCTCTTCTAACCCTTACTCAAATTTAATATCCTCAAAGTGACATTTTACTCCCTTTCAAAGACATTTTCAGAATTTGGAATTAAAGCTGAAGCTTTTGCCGCCCCCAGTTGGATTTGTCTTGTTCTACTTTGGAGGAAGGTCGCTTCAAGTTTTCACAAAGTAAACGGGATGTGAAAATATCAAGTTGGATCAGGACTAAGGCTATAAATAACACAAGCTGCATTCTTCAGAGCAAATCTATAAACAAAGAGAATAACTGTGTGCTGGTAAAAGTTTTGTTTTAACTGTAGCAGTCATATGAGAAAGCTTCTTTAAAGGACTGGCTTTCAGTGAGAAAGTTTTTCCAACTGTCACCGTGTCAAAGGTTATGGGACAGACCTGAGTGACACATACCACTCAGTGACACATTTAACTTAGTTAATGCTTATATTTCTCATCTTAATGGCTGTACATGCGATAACCCAGCTGCTCGCTAGAATGAATTCTGTCTGTCTTACAGGACTTCCCTCAAATATCATCAGCTGCTTGTCCCAGTGTCCCAAAGGAGAACAGGAGGCGGCACTTCTATGCTCGAGAGGACAGCGACGAAGAGGAGCTGAGCCTCAGCAGCATGCAGCAGGACGACCAGCTGAGCACTTAGCAGGAGCCATTCTCTTCTGACTGTGCTGGACTGCTGGAGGAGGAAAGAAACATCCAAAAGAAACTACCTGCTCACAGTTCATTCAACCACTTTTCAAAAGGTCCCATACGTCCCAAACATGAGGGTGATGAAGGAGGTAAGGGTCAACATGACGTGCCCACGGAGGGAGTAAAGAGTTTAACTGTGGTGTTTTTAGCTGTTTTCTACTCAAAACATCTGGCCCGATACCCAAAGATTTTTGGTGCAGTAAAAAGTGAGTAAAGTGCTTTTTGTTCATATAAGCTCTGTCACACTGATCCTACAGGGTCAAAGGTCAAACATTACAAAGTTTGCAGTTCGTGGAGCAAAAGACTGCTGGATTCAACAATAAAAAAAGTGCTTAATGGCCAAAAAAAAAAAAGATGGTGTAAAAAAAAGAACAGTGCCATTTTAATCTGTGTCCAGACAACAGAAATGTAATAAGGAAGGACAAAGCATGAACCAAAACAACACATCCGTCCTGAGATAGTTTTGTACTACACACACTGGAGGTGAATGTTACACGGCAGCCATTGTTCAGCAAGTGTCTAAAATCCCTCCTCAGCATTTTTGTTTATGGCAGCTTTTTAACACATCTGTAAACACACATCAGCGCAGCTAATCTTTCCTGTTAGGTTCACATTTCAATAAATCTGACATGAGTGTTTATTTTCTGATTTTTATAGTATGTTGCTTTGGAAGTGATTAGTTTATAAAAATCTAGACTATAAAATATATTCTAACCAGGGAGTTAACTAATTGCACTGGTGCTTTATCCTTTTGCTGAATTTTGTAAATATCTGATTTTACTGATTATTTAATCCAAACATTTTTTGTACAGCCTTATGTATACAAACGCTTTTCATGCTGTAGAAGTATCCAACTTCATAACTGAATGTGTGAAAGTTCATAATCCATCCATATAATTTTACATCAGTGTGCCAACATGTACAAGAAATAAATGTTTTTCATGATTTGAAAGCTTGTTGTTGGGTAATTGAGTCCACTTTTTCCCTGTTCTGGTCCAGACAGCAAATAAGTTGGAGGTAAAATTGTCTGTTATCTTAACTTTCTTCTTTTTTTTTATTTACTTTCTTCGTCTTCTTTTAATGCCTTCTAAGCTCAAATGTATTATTTAAGTAGCTCAAAAATATGTATTAAAAAAATAGAAATGTTAAAATATTCAAGTCAAGCGTTTCTTCTTGGCCTTGGGCTTCGGTTGTGCTTTGCCTGCGTTGCTGGTAGTATTAAGAATCTTCTTGGTGTCACACAGCAGGTTGTGAGCTCCTTTCTTGTGGCAAACGATGTGGACAAGCTTGAGGTTTTGCCTGGTAAACAGCAGCTGGTAGAAGTAGTTTAAATTGACGTCGGTTGTCTTGTGATTCTGCAAAGTGTCCAGCAGAGTGGGAATAATCGTCCTCTTCTTTTCAATCCTGAATATGAAATAAAGTTATACTAACATAAAGGTGAAAACATCAGGAGCTCCAGCCAGCAGCTGTCCAACCTGTGATCCAGATTCCAGGTACTGAAGATGATCCTGCTCTCTCTGCTGCCGTAGGGGTTGATGGAGTGGAGCGACTGGCACACTTTCTGGTCATATGATCCCTGAGGAGGCAGCGGAATGAGGGTAAAGGTGTTCAACAAGCAGACTGGGATATGTAAACTGTCTCCAAAGGCACAGTGTTTGAGTCTTCATTCTCATTCTACCTGGCAGGTAAACCATCCCTCTTTAGTGCAGAGGCGGCCGGACTCCTTCTCAGTCCTATCGAAGTAGCTTCCGTTGTACCTGGCGGACTTTAGCATTTCTAACAGACTCTTCGATGTTTTTAGGATCTCGGCCTTGACTTTTGCCTTCTGGGCGCTTTTAGTGGCGTCATCCACCTGGAAGCGGACAGAAGAAGGAGCCGTTAACACGCTCTGGGGTCAAGCCGAGGAGGATTTGTGTGGTGAAACATGCTGCTCGGAGTCTGACCTCTTTCATGTATCCTCGTATCCTGCTTTCACAGTTGTACCTCATGTAGGCAGACTTTGTTTTGAATCGAGCATCAACCCCTGCAACAAAATGCAGCTGTCAAAAAACTCAATATGTATTTGTTGAGCTTCATATCCGCAAAGATTCCAAATTCTGGCGTCCACACATCGGATGGAAAAAACCCAATAATGACTTTTTGGGCTTTCAGCTTTGTTAAAGTTCAAATATCAAAACCTATAAAAAAATTATTTACAAATGACATGAACAATAACACCATTTTGTTTGGAGATAAAACTAAATTAAATGTGTCTTAAAAATCAGGTTCCACCTGACATAATGTGATTACATGAAGCTGAAATGAATCCGTTTACAGCTTCCTATCTATCTCTGAACATGTGCTACAGTTCCATGAAGATGTCACGTACCACTGAACCAGTCCTTATCTTCCTCTCTGCTCTCCAGCTCAGACCTGTCGTCCAGGTTCTGCAGCAGGTCACTGAGGATTTTACGCCTCTTTGAGGATTTCTCATCAGAGAGAAGGCCCTTTGCCGCTTCGATGAGGCTGTCAGCATGTCGGTCTGTGTTCAGTAACCGGCCGATGTCACAGACGACTAGAACATAAGTGCACAGGCAGGATCAGGTTAGGCCAGAAAAGGTGACTTCCACAATTAGGTGAAGAAATGGTTTCTTGTTTTACATGCCTCCCGTCCATGTCTGTCCTTTTGACAGCAGAACAAGTTCAGTGTCTTCTGGCAGGGTGTGGAAAAATCCATCCGTCACTATGGTCCCATCCTCATACAGATACACTTGAGCACCAGAGAGTGGCAGCTGGAATTGTAAACACACATAAAAGTGAACTGCAGATATTAAATGCATCTCTTATTCTTCCCTTTTACAAATCCGACTTCTAAACTCTGAAAGAGCTCAAATACAAGCACAATGACGTTTTTTTGCTCTAATCTCTTTTCATAATCTACAGAAAGCGAGACCTGCCTTTCTTGACAAGGATATTTCAAATTCAGTCAGACTTACTTCCTGGATAAGACGCTCGTTCTGGTTTCAAAACAGCAACAATTTTGTAAAAACATTTTGAAATACGGAGGGAAAAGCAAGAGAAATATTTATATTCTGTTAATATTAATGTGAGATGAGACATACATTCAAAGCCCTGTGTGTGTCCCTTTGGTTTAAGAGAAACAGAAACTGCTCGGTCTGCATATAAAGTACAAAGGTCACCATGTTTGACATAACGTCTTCTATTTTATCCAGCTGTTAATAAACCCATTTGTAAACTTCTAAAGACACTTTCCCTTGCACCGCATAAATACAGTTACGAAGACGTAAAAATGTTTTGGTTTCCGTTTCAGGAAGTGTTTCAAACTACTACGGCTCACCTGTAACAACTGACAGCCCTTTTTAAGCAGCTCCGTAACAGATTTCGCAGCAACTCCGTATTTTTTCTCGCCGCTATAACCTCTAATTTTCACAGGTTTATATTTACCCAAGGTTCCAAACATTTTACAGTTTTCAGTTTGTACGTGCCGCTTCCTCCCTATTCTTCCTCGTCCATCGTTTTGGGCGCTGGGATGGAGATTTGCTGCCCCCTGCTGGTTCATTTTCATATAAAATGGACGAAAACAACTCAAATGGATCCATCTACCTCTAATGACGAACAAACTCAAATTTAGTCTATTAGGTACGTCTTGCACACGTCAACAATATGTTTAAAGCTATAAGATAACTTTTGAAGAGTGTGTACTGAAAAGAAAACAATTCTAAATGGAAAATAAAGAGTGAATAGTTAAACATCACAAAAAAATAATAACACAAGTTTAAGAAATCTCGCAGCACAGTAATTTACTTAATGTGCACATGGTATAGCTTTTCAGTAAATATAGCTTTTATGTTTTTGTGACACTAGATCCTTCATAATAGCATGGATTTGTTATCGTTTCAAACAGATCAAACTGCAGATATTTCGGAAAATTCAGCGTGGACCCGTTTTTATTACGGTGTCTGTTCGAAATAATTATTCCCAGTGGAAATTATTTCTGTTTTGTTCTGTCACACTCGTTTGTAGGATCTACACGTTTAATCGTCATTACCATAGCAACTGATGCAGCAAGAAGGAATATGCCAAATGAGAGGTTAGTATGATAATGAATAGCTGTCACAGACATTTAAATCAAAGGGTAGTTCATTATTGAAACACACTTTTACATAAAATATATATTTAAAAGAACTACGTTAGATTTAGTATATATTATACTGTTGTTAATGCTTTCAACTAAACATCTGATGTACTCGGCCACCCCTCTGAAATACGAATGGTGCAGTTTGATTTCAATATGGCGGCCGTGTGTTTGAAAATCTAAACTGAGAGTGAGTATAATATCCCCAGTGATTTCTCTCTTCGTGCTTCTGTTTTTCTTGCATGTTGCTCATTTGTCTTTTAACGAAGGAATTTGGTTATAATTGAAGAGATAACCAACATGGTGACCGGCTGGAAAGAAGTCTTTGAGAGAAACCGGCTAGTCCCTGCCTCCAGCCAGACTGTTCGTTTTGCTGAAGAAAACCACTTCAACCAGTCTCAAGGTTTCCAGCTCAGCCTCTGCCGCCTCACTGCTGCTCACCTCCCGCAGGTGACACTGGACAAATAACGCTTGGTTACAGACATTGTTCTGTTTAATATAGATATGTTACAGTGCCTAAAAAAACACATTTTAGCTCGTGCTGTGAAGCCTCTTGTGTATTTTCCCATATACAATCTATTCAACCCCCCATACCAAAGTTCTCATCTCGTGGTTCAGCAGTGCCTTTTCTTAGGTGCCTTTTTCCTCTTTATTCTCTTAGGAGGTCTCAGTGGGCCAACAGGATGTGACTTACCAGCTGCGAGTCACACTGTTTGATAGAATGCACCAGCACTTCATTGGGAAAACATGGAGGAGTTCTGCCCAAAAGATGAAAAATAACAAGATCGCCTTCAATGAGGTAACCTTTTTCCCCCCAACAGCTGCAAGTGGCTGTCATTTTAATCAATGGATCATAAGGCTCTATCTTTAAACTGTTGTCCTGCTGTCCTACACCTTGACTTGCTGACTATTTAGCAGAATCAAAGCATATTGAAAACGTAATCATGTTAATCATGTTCGTACAGACATTATTTAATTACACCAAACTTAAAAGCTTCTGCAATCAGCCATCTTAAAGTTAGCACAAATGATTAGGCTGTGCTCCGCCAACAACAGTTATCTCACAGCACTTATCTGTCCCAAATTTAGCAGCCTGCTGATCCCAATAACATAAAGAGCAGGTCTAGACCGTACTCTGAAATTGTTTGCAAAAGCCCAAAAATGTAACTCAAAAAGTTATTTCGCTTGCCCTGCAAGGCAATCTGGGAATGCAGGCCATCAGAACCTCCTCTGATGGGTCAAGTGTTCACAGGGAATTAACTTCCAAGACTTTATTGAAGAAAGAACAGCTGCACCACAGTGATGCTCATCCTTCTCAGATGTGATCTAAAGTATCTGGTTGATGAGTGCAAGAATGTACCATCTAATATTATATCTACTGGTAGTTATTGCTGTACAGTTTCACATTCTGTGCAGAGCCTTTTACCCTTATGGTACCTTTTGTGCATTGAAACGTCAAAACTTTACCCTCATCTTATCTTGCAAATGATGTATAAAATAAAACAGACTCAATAATTTTTCATTGATCACATTCAGTGCTGATGGATTGATGCTTCTGAACCATAATGCACTACAAGATGGTCAAAGTGGGCCCTGTCCATCATGATGTACGGCCACTTGTCAGTCTGCGGCCTGTCTTTATTTGCATACAGATCACTGCAGATTAGCCAGCGGAGGACAATGACAGACACTTCAGTTGCACAGTTTAACACCGTCCTGATGCACGTTAAGATCAGCAGCGGCTGAAAAATTTGCATCCACAAATGAAATGAGAAAAGGGGCCTAATAGGAACTGAGAAAACAGGCCAAATCTGCTCTTGGATCGCCGTCTCAGAAGAAATCATATTTAGTGGCGGTGAATAACTCAGGGGAGAATAGTTGGTGTGCAGCGTAGCTGTTCGTGCCAAGGCTAACTTATGATGGAGTTTTATTACAGCTTTTATTACAGGTGTTTTTCTGCTTTCTGCTGCGCTAAGCCATCTACTACATCCCTGAGATTCAGCTGGCAGGCGTCACTTACCACTTTTATAGCCCTCTTCTGAATCCCACTTTTTAGTGCTCCAATTTTCTGGAATTTCTCTCCTGCTTGCTGCTGTAGGAGCGCATGGTGCACTCTAACTACACACTTATGTGTTGTCCTAATGCCAATGGATTAGTTGTTGTGAAGTGGTTTCTGCTTTGTCAGGTGCAGAAATAATTCACAATCACCTGCAGGTGAGGGTGGAACTGATCATGACAGGTTCATGTTTTTGAGTTAAATAATGGTCTAATTCACTGAAAACTGAGTGAAAATCCAGTTAATTTTTGATGAGTAAAAGCTCGTAAATTAAAGATCAGTTAATCTGAATGTATTTTGCCATGATTTGGTTCGTAATAAAAAAAACAAACAACGGGAATGCAGTCTTTCAAACTCAATCCAATTTTTTTTTATCGTGGAGCTGCTTTGAGTTCCCTTTTGTCCCTTTTGGGACTGAGTTAAACCTGACTTTGAGATAATTGTATCACCGTCATCGTACATTGTGTGTTACTTTTTGTTCGACTGCTGTAACATGAGTCACACAAAAAGGAGCAGAGATATGGCTGAACTTTGAGTTTTTTCCAACAATCTGGCAATTATAGCCCAATCTTGTCGGTAAAAAAAAAATCATTTGTGCAGAATTTGATAAGAAAATATTTGTTTGTTGCAACATTAAGCCTGTATTCCTGAACATTTAGTGTTTGGCCCACTCTGGGGTATCTTATTCTGTGGATCCTGAAGCACAGCTAATAGTTTCATGGTGTCATTGCCAGAGTTTCTTGTTAGTTTTTCTGCGCTTTTCTGTGTTTATTGTTCACATTAAAATGTCAGTGGCGTCCGTTATGACCTCCGACCCTCAGGTGAATGTGGCGCAATTACATCTCCAGTAAGATTTCTGCTCTGTTTTGACTGATTTCACCTCTGCTTTGTCTCTCGTCCAGCCTTTAAAAAAAAATGTATTTCTACTTTTTCCTTCAAATGTGATCATTGGGTCTTTTGTTCTCTGTAATCACCATTAGACAAAGGGAACAGAGAAACCAGTTCTTCATTTCAGGCTCTGTGATGTACCGTCTGGCAGATGTGCTTTGATGATGAAATTTCCAATAACTTATTGAAAATGCGAAAGAGGATGTTGTCACAATCAAAGACCTCAGATCCAAAAGATCAAACCTGCCACACCGATGAAGAAAAAGTCAGATTATCTTCATGGTATTTATCCACGAGAAAGACTTCTATTCTTTAGCCAGGCTGCTTTGATGGCTCGTCTTGAGCGCTGTAAGTAAAGCTGATGGCTACAAGCAACTCCTCACAGATCACTGAGCATTCCACAGTTTTTAAACTCTGCTCTGAAGGTAAATTGTAGCAGCTCTGACGCTGTACTTATATTTGAGCAGTTCATATTTTTACCCGCTGCTCAAACCAACGTGACAACGTTGATCAAGAGCACCATCACATTTTCAGAAATTCACGTTCTCTGGAGTCTGTTTTAATAAAGAGCTTAAGTTAGAAAAAAAGGTGAAGTTAGGTCATCTGCAAAAGGGATCTTGAGTCCTCTCCTGTAATTTCGCTCTTTGATTCCAATGCACCCCTTAAAAGTTTATTTCATCCTGCACAATTTACTGCTGCACTGCAGAACCAGCCGTTAATCTTTAATCTATACAGAAAAGTTATTATTGGGATGTCAAAACGCAACCATCCAAGGTCTGTTACATTTTTAAGATAGCGCAGGCTTTACATTTTCAGCAAATCTCAGAAGTTGGGGAATTATTAAATTTCTTTACAAGATTTGAAACATTTTCAATGTACTAAAAAAAAAAAACAGAGTTACCAGTCCCACTTTCAAGTATATTTGTTGTGACTGCTGCCAATTCGTTGCCAGCGTCCTATCAGCAGTAGCTATTCAAGGTAACCCGGAACTCTTTTCAAGAACTTCAGGCTAGTTTCCAATATTGCAAAATCTATGGGAAAACACATCTTATCTGTCCCAAATTCAGAAGCCTGCGGAACCCGATAACAAGCCCAGACTTTCAGCCTAGTCTTTAAGAATCATTAGCAGCAGAGAGAAGAAGGATGCCTGCAACAGATGTATGACCCCATTAAGAACCCAGACCGTGTGACATGAGGAAATAGAGGACACTGAGATGGGACAGAGCTCCAGAACAACTGCAGCAAACTTTTTAAAGTATACTAGTTTCTTTAGGAAAAACTCGCCCGTAAAAGCGCTGCTGTTCACAGTGCAAGCGGGCCTCAAAGAGCAGGGCATCTTCTCCACCAGTCCTCTGGAGGCATGCGGCTGATATGTTACACTTTTTACCCGGTAAAAAAAACACAGTCAGATGCAGGAAAATAGCTCCACTGGCGGCAGATTGTAAACCTTCGCAGTCTGACAGAGGGACTATATTCCCTGCCAGGCTTTTTTCAAAAAGGCACCTTCGTCTTTAACCACAAAATGAAGACCCGTGTCATGTTCCTTTCTGAACATTCACCTTGTAGCACAATGTTGTTATGTTTGAGCAGATACACTATATTGCCAAAAGTATTTGCTCACCTGCCTTGACTCACATATGAGCTTAAGTGACATCCCGTTCCTAATCCATAGGGTTCAATATGACGTCGGTCCACCCTTTGCAGCTAGAACAGCTTCAACTCTTCTGGGAAGGCTGTCCACAAGGTTTAGGAGTGTGTTTATGGGAATTTTTGACCATTCTTCCAGAAGCGCATTTGTGAGGTCGCACACTGATGTTGGACGAGAAGGCCTGGCTCTCAGTCTCCGCTCTAATTCATCCCAAAGGTGTTCTATCGGGTTGAGGTCAGGACTCTGTGCAGGCCAGTCAAGTTCATCCACACCAGACTCTGTCATCCATGTCTTTATGGACCTTGCTTTGTGCACTGGTGCACAGTCATGTTGGAAGAGGAAGGGGCCAGCTCCAAACTGTTCCCACAAAGTTGGGAGCATGGAATTGTCCAAAATGTCTTGGTATGCTGAAGCATTCAGAGTTCCTTTCACTGGAACTAAGGGGCCAAGCCCAGCTCCTGAAAAACAACCCCACACCATAATCCCCCCTCCACCAAACTTTACACTTGGCACAATGCAGTCAGACAAGTACCGTTCTCCTGGCAACCGCCAAACCCAGACCCGTCCATCAGATTGCCAGATGGAGAAGCGCGATTCGTCACTCCAGAGAACGCGTCTCCACTGCTCTAGAGTCCAGTGGCGGCGTGCTTTACACCACCGCATCCGACGCTTTGCATTGCACTTGGTGATGTATGGCTTGGATGCAGCTGCTCGACCATGGAAACCCATTCCATGAAGCTCTCTGCGCGCTGTTCTTGAGCTAATCTGAAGGCCACATGAAGTTTGGAGGTCTTTAGTGATTGACTCTGCAGAAAGTTGGCGACCTCTTCGCACTATGCGCGTCAGCATCCGCTGACCCCGCTCCGTCAGTTTACGTGGCCTACCACTTCGTGGCTGAGTTGCTGTCGTTCCCAAACACTTCCATTTTCTTATAATACAGCTGACAGTTGACTGTGGAATATTTAGGAGCGAGGAAATTTCACGACTGGATTTGTTGCACAGGTGGCATCCTATCACAGTTCCACGCTGGAATTCACTGAGCTCCTGAGAGCGACCCATTCTTTCACAAATGTTTGTAAAAACAGTCTGCATGCCTAGGTGCTTGAATTTATACACCTGTGGCCATGGAAGTGATTGGAACACCTGATTCCGATAATTTGGATGGGTGAGCAAATACTTTTGGCAATATAGTGTATCTAGGGAGCAG